TAAGTAGGAAAAGAAATCTTAGCGGGAAGTTTTTCTGATAAAGGTCTCATTTACAACATATATAAGGAACTAGTTAGGGTTTATAAGAATAAGAGCCATTCCACAGTTAATAAGGTGGTCAAAGCCTATGGACAGGGAGTTCTCGAGGGAAGAAATCCAAACTATAGCCCAATGAAAGTAATGTGCCAAATCCTTAATAATTAGAGAAATGCAAATTAAAGCAACTGAGGTTCCACCTCACACCCGTCAGATTTACAAAGTTGACAACAAAGGAAAATTATAAATCCTGGAGGGGCTGAGAGAAAACAGGCACATTAGTGCACTGTTAGTGGGGCTGGGAATCGGGATAGCTCAGGGGTAGGGAATCTGCAGCTTCTAGGCCGCACGTGGCCTCAAGGTGCAGGTTCCACACCCCTGGTCCAGCTGTTGTGGCCTACGACCTCCGACTCAGTTCCGATGATTGTCCTGAGAAGCGGGCACACCTCCTTAGAAGGGGAGAGTGCGCCAGTACAGAAGCCAGAGCAAGCTTTATAGTTAGTAATTGCCTAACTCCTCCCTTCTGGATCAGGATTGGTCCTAATCCTTCTGGGTTACAATCTTCCTTACGTGCCCCACCCCTAACATACATTATGTGCCTAGAACTGTGTTGTCACTCCCCTGGACAGAGAAGTTAGCCTCTGCTAACTCTGCTGATTTCTTATGTACTTATGTGGAAACTTAAGTCTCATTTCTCACAGGGTGTTAGGAATCCCAAAATGCAAGGATACAGGGCACCTCGAAAGAATTCGGTGGTCCAAGAGACCTGGCCCACCAGACATTTATAGATAATCTATAACTCTTCCTTGTTACCCACTATCTTAAGTAATGGCACCCATCTTCCCTGGGGTGTGTGTGTGTGTGTGTTTAACACTGTTATGTTATGTTATGTCATGTTAATGATAGACAGACATCCTGGAACTATAATTCCAGTTGACACTTTGACACTTTTCTTATTGTATTTACGAACCTATCCTATTAAGAAATTCCTTTTTGAGGAGCAGCTAGGTGGCTCAGTGGACAGAGCTCTGGCCTTGGAGTCAGGAGGACCTGAGTTCAAATCCGGCCTCAGATGCTTTCTAGTTCTGTGACCCTGGGTAAGTCACTTTACCCCGATTGCCTCACCAAAAAAAAAAATTCTTTTCTGGTTAATGTATGGAGACTATAACTTTGGTTGACACAGGCATCCTGAGTTGGGAAGTTCTAAACCTGTAAAGGTCTCCTTCAGTATGTCACTGTGCTAAGTGCTGGGGGATGCAAAGAAAGGCAAAAACACTCCCTGCCCTCAAGGAACTCACAGTCTAATGGCAGAGACAACTGCAGGAGCTTACAATCAAGTGAGGGAAACAACAGGCTAACACCTATGTACAAAGAAGATATGTACAGGCTACATTCAAGATAATCTCCGAGGAAAGGCACTAACATAAAGGGGTCCAGGAGAAACTTCACAGAAAAAGTGGAACTTGGGGCAGTTGGTGGCACAATGTTCAGGCCCTGGGCAAGTCACTTAATCCCAACTGCCAAAAAGAAAAAGAAAAAGGTGGGACTTTAGCTGAGACTAGAAAAAGCCAGGAAGTAGAGGTGAGGAAGGGAATTCAAGGCATCGGGGGACAGCCAGTGAAAATCTCAGGGGTTGAAGCGAGATGGAAGAATGACAGAGGGTGAGTTAAATACATATATTAAAGGACTGCTCTCTTAGTTAAAAACAAAAAGTGAAAAAGAAAGAATGGATCAGGAGGGAAATGGCAGCATGACATCCAAGAATTAAAACCATGTATGAAATCGGCAAAAATGAAAGTGAATCAAGATCAATCATTAAGAATAAAATTGAAGAATGAGTTAATATAACAAAACTCCAAAAGCAGCTGGTGGATTTGTGAAACAGAGTAATACATCCAAAGAGAAAGCAAGACACTGAATTTCTTTTTTAAGCGAGACTTTATGTTTAATGATAAAAGGACCTTCCCAGAGTAGACCAGATCTGGAAGCAGACAGAATACCAAAAACTACCAGAGTAGATAAATTCTAATTACTATTTGCTAAGACACATTCTCAGAATACAGAATTACAGAAACAAATAAAATAAAATGCCAACCATTAACAAAGCAAAAATAAATTGCATGTAAAAAATACCAATTAGACTAACCATAATCTTTTCAAAAACAACAAATCAGAAACATTCAAATGGGACAAAAATGTAGGAAAAATGTAGAAATGAACAAGTAACATTGGACCACAAAATAACATACCTGTGAACATTGTTTGGAAATGGAAGTTTATTTCAAAAATTAAACCTGAATGGATTTACCAGCAAAATCCATAACCAAAGTGATTTCTACAAGTACTGCAAGGTATATTCTTAACATAGTGCCTAGAACACAGTAAGAGCTCTATGCTTCTTCACTAGACTTGATTTATCAAAGAGGAGTACTTCCTAGCTTGAAAAAAGATAGAAATTATACATGGCATATTTTAAGACTGAAATGCAGTAAAATTAGATGTTCATAATAATACCATATCCATAATAATAAAAATTTATAAAATTATTTGGAAACTCATTATCTTTCTCCCCAAATCTTCCTCTCTTCCCAACTTTCGTGTTAATAATGTTGGGGGTACCACCATCCTCACCATCAACAAGGCTCACAATCTTATTATGTCCTTGAGTCCACAATCTACCTCACTCCACATAACCAATCCATTGCTAAACCTCATTTCTGCCATTTCTCTCACATATATCCCATTCTTTCCACTTATCCAGCTGCAACCTTCATTCAGGCCTACCTTACCATTTTCTTGGACCATTAAAATACTGTTCTAACTGGTCTCCCTGCCTCAAGTCTCTCCAATTTTTGGCCGAGGTTAATTTTCAAAAGCATCAATCTTACCAATGTTACCCTCCTACTCAGTCATTACCAGTGGGTTCCTATTACCTCTAGGATCAGATATCAAATCCTGTGCCTTTTAAAGCACTTTATAACCTTTCTCTGTCCTACCTTTCCAGTCTGACACATTCTCTGGCTCACTCTAACTTCTAGTTGTATTGGCAGATTGCTGCCTGTCTCTTCTTTATTATAGAGTTAATCCTGAGGAGTTAGAGGGTGTCTTTCTAGTATTCTAGCTCATGAGCCCCCATCAGTGTGCTTCCCCATGATTTTCAGTTGATATCAGCCAGAGAATTTGTTTTTTAGAGAAAGTTTTTTACTAAGGAGGCAGTTAGGTGGTACAGTGAATAAAGTGTTAGTCCCAAAGTCAGGAAGATTCATCTTCCTGAGTTCAAATTTGGCCTCAGACAGTTACTAGCTGTGTGATCCTGGGCAAGTCACTTACCCTGTTTACCTCAGTTCTTCATCTGTAAAATAAGCTGAAGAAGGAAAGGCAAACCACTCCAGTATTTTTACCCTCCCCCCCAAATAAAATAAACCCAAATGGGTTCATAAAGAGCTGGACATAGAAAAACTATTAACTATAATGCAACAAATAAACAAAATAATCTGAAAGAACTACAAGTGATTATATCAACAGATGCATAAAAATCCTTTGATAAAATCCAACATTCACTTCGGATTTTAAAAGTCAACACAGATACTTATTTTCCTGTAGGTCACAACTTTTGAAAACACCAATTTTAATTATTATTCATGAAAACCAGATTAGGATGCCTTTTAAAGTTTACAATCAACTTTACATTATCCTAAGGTAGAAGATTCTCTTTTTAGATTATTTGCAGGGGGTGCCATGAAGACAATGGTTTCTACTTCATGTGCTCACACACCAAGAATCAGAAGACTAACCAGAGAGCTATAGAATTCCCTTTCTATCTCTCTAACTGTGGCTTAGTATCTGAGGAAGACCTTTTCCAAACAAGCAAGTCATGTGTTCCCCCTTGCATCCTCCCTGACCCCACCCTCTCTCACCCCCCCCCAGCACAACCTGTTCGAGCCATCGAGTCATGGAACTTAAGGATGTGGAAAGATAGTTCTGGTGATGGCCTGCCCAGTGATAAGAGTAAGGCGGTCATTCCCAGCAAAGAGCTGATCAGTGGCCAGGTGGTAAGGAGGTGAAAGCGGAGCCTCCAGTTTGTCTGAAGTCAGATCTTCATATAACTTATTTCAATTCAATTTAGCAAATATTTATTGAAAGTATTACAAATTCTCAGAGTACCTGACATTGTATTGAAAATTCTGGCACCTGCAGTTAGATGGGAAAATTATTTACGAGGGATTATCCCTGGAAATGAACGCAGAATATCATTTGCAGATTGCATGTAAGTGTGCCATCAACATACCACTGTCACGATCAAAAACTTGACAGAGACAAATGAATCAAGCAAATATAAAGGAGACCGCGTTAACCCATTGAAGCTACTCTTGTTCTTAATTTAATAGCAATAATGCTTGAGAAAACATAATAAAATGAGAAACCCTCAGTAATTAAGCTTGTTGCTCAGTTGTGTCCAACTCTTTGTGACCCGACGGGCTTTATGTCCATGGGGTTTTCTTGGCAAAGGTGCTGGAGTGGTGTGCCATTTCCTTCTCCACTATGTCCCTATGTAACAAATGAGCAACTGAGGAAAATAGGGCTTAAGTGACCTGCCCTGAGTCACATGGCTAATAAGTGTCTGAGGCTGCATTTGAACTCAGATCTTCCTGATTCCAGGCCCAGTGCTCTTTTAGCTGTCCTCAGTAATTAACCTACATAGAAATAAATGTACTTTGCATAACTATAAACCTACTATGAGTGAAATAAAGAAAGCCCCAAATAATTGGAGGGGCATTAAACACTTAGACTGAAAATAATTGCAAAGTTAATTTCCATATTTAATGGAACTCCAGTCAAAATACTGAAGTTTCTTTATAAAATTTTACAAAATCAGATTTTTAAAAAAACAAATTCTTGCTTTTTTCCTTTAAGCCTGAGCCCCTGGAGCAGCGCACAAGTCCCCTTTGGCCTCAGAACTACATTTCCCAGAAGTCCCCGCAGAAGACGGGTTTTTCCTGGAGTCCTTGAGGGACGGTTGCCATGGGAATGGTTGGCTGGGGTGGGAGGAGACGCTCCCACACTTGACTGCTATGCGGTACGCACTTCCGCTTCCGCTAGCTTTGGTTTGCGTCCTGGTGGGCCTGTCTCCTCCGATAGTGTCCTCTCAGCCTGTGACCTGCGCCGGAGGATCCTCCCGCCTCCGCCCACCCCCCAACCCGCGTGCGGGGGAGCCCTGGGGTCGGGGTAGTGCCGCTCGGGCCGGGGCAGGTCCTGGCTCCGAGGAGAGCACGGCTGCCGGGTCAGGAAGCATTTATGTAGTGCCTGCTGTGTACCGGGCCTTGTGCTGAGCGGTGAAGATTCCAGGAAGGGGGAGGCCGGTGCCTGCCCTCGGGGAGTTTCCAGTCTAATGGGGGAGACGAGCGGCCAACTCCCACGCCCAGCGAGCTACACCCGGGGAGGAGGGGAGGCGGCACACGGGAGGACTGAGGGAAGCCGGGAGGGGGGCTGTTCCAGGAGGGGCGGCCAGTGAGATGCCCGGAGCCGTCGGGACGTGGGGCGGCGAGAAGGGCGATGGCAGCAGCGGACAGAGACCGTGGTGCCAGGAGACTGACCGGAAGGGGAGGGAGCGGCCGGGCGCGAGGGCCCTGAATGCCGGGCCGAGGTGAGGGAGCCGCGGGGGGGTCCCGGAGCAGGGGCGGGAAGTGGCCGGAGCGGGGCTCTGACGGCCGAGGGGAGGGTGGGCTGGGGTGGGGAGGGGCTTGTGGCCCGCAGACCCCCGGCAGCTGTTGCAGTGGGGGGCTGCTCGTGGGGCCCGGACCAGAGGGAGCGGGCGGAGGTCAGAGTAGTGCAGAGGTGAAACTGACTAGTCTTGGCAGCATTGGATTTTGGGGGTGAGCCTGGGGACTGGGAGGGTGAGGGGTACCATCAACGGGAAGCTGGGACAGTTTCATACGTGTTGGGTGTTTAAGATACTTAAGGGACACCCAGACACCCATTTGAGATGTCCAAGGCAGATGATGATTCGAAAACAGGTCAAGAGAGAATTTAGGTCAGAATCATCTGCGTAAAGATAATTATGAGATCACGAAGTGAAAGAGTATAAACAGAGAAGTGGACTCCGGTCAGAAGCTCAGGGGATCCCCACGGTTACCAGGCATGGCCTGGGTGAAGTTCCTGCAAAGGAGACAGAGAATAAGTCAGATAACTAGGAGGAGAGCCAAGAGAACCCTAGGGAGAAGAGGATTATAAACAGGGTGAAGGGCTGTAGAGAGGTCCAGAAGGATGAAAATAAGGAAAAGGCTATTAGATTTGGCAGTTAAGAGATCATTGGTAATTTTGGAGAGAGCAGTTTCAGTTGAATGAGGAGGTTGGAAACCAGACTACAAAGAGTTAAGAGATTGAGAAAGGAGATGGAGGCACCTATTCTGGAAGGCCTTCGCAAGGAGTTTAGCCACAAAAGGAAGAGAGATAAAGGATAATAGCTAGCAAGGATGGATAAATTAAGTAAAGGGGTTTTTTTTTGATAATGGGGGAGGCAAGGGCATTTTGGCCCCCTGGATGGGTCTAAGCTGCTGGGAAAGGCCATTCTGCTCACAGGTCCTTCCTCATCCTAGGCACAGTGGTGGAGGGTTCTGCTGATTCTTGAAGGGCATGGTCCCAGCCATCCTCACAACTCGAGCCCAGGTAAGTTGGAGCTTCACTTTTTCTGGTCTGGCCCTGGCAGTCTCCAAGCAGGGGCTAGATGCTTTCTCTGCTGCAGGGACCCAGGAGACTTGACATCACCTGAGGAGCCATGTTCTTTCCTACCCAAGTACTATTATTAAGCCTTTTGTGTCATGGAGACCTATTCTAGGGAAGCCTATAGACCCCATCTCAGGATAATGTTTTAAATGCAGAAAACAAAATACATAGAATTACAAAAGAAACCAAATGTATTAAAATGCAATTATTGAAATATTGAAAAACTAAGTTTATAGATGTTAGATTAAAAGATCCCTGTTATATGTTCCCTCTTGATAAGTGGCAGCCAGATGATGTAGGAAATACAATGCTAGACTTGGAGTCAGAAGACATGAGTTCAAATGCAGCCTCACTGACTTCTTGTTTGTGTAACCCTGGGCAAGTCAACCAGAGGACCTGACCTTTCAGCCTCAGTTTCCACATCTATAAAATGGGGGCAATAATAGGGCTGAGGTGAAGATCAAATGAGATGACATGTATCTCATATATAACCCTTTGCAGACCATAGAGTGCTTATGCAGCACTCTATGGCTAGCTGTTATTATTATCTAATGGGCTCCAGGTATTTTCTCTGTCCCCAGCACTCGTGTCTTTACTGAGCTCAAGTTGGGTATTACCAACTGCCTTTTTGACATCTTGAACTGGAAGCCCCATAGGCTTTGCAAATTTCACGTGTCCGTACCAGAACTAGTCTTTCTCCCCAAACCTCTCTGTCCTAACTTCCCTCCTGCTGACAAGGGCACGACTGTCCTTCTACTCACCTCAGTGTTGTCCCTAAGTCTTCACTCGCTGCTGCCCCACACATCCAAATCTTATCATTTCTACCTTGACAGCGTCTCTTGTATACATTCCCTTCTCTCCACTCACACAACTACAGCCCTGGTTCCAGTCCTCATCACTGCATGTCAAGACTGTTGCCTTCTAACTGATCTCCATATCTCGAATCTCTCTCCCCACCTCCAATCTATCCTCCACTTAGCTGCTAAAGTGATTTTTTTTAAAGCATAGGTCTGACCATGTCACCGTCCTGCTCAATGAACTCTGGTTGTTTTTTGTGGTTTGTCCTTCATTCTCCAAGAGGGCCATGAGGTCAGGAAGGTGATGCCGTGACTTGCGGGTGAATTGGACTTAAGTGGGGGAGGGCTGTGCAAGGTCACCAGCTTCACTTTTTCTTCCGGAGCATATAGATGTAGATCAGGATGACTGGAGATGGCCCCCATGAACTCTAGTGGCTCAGGATCAAAGATAAAAGTCTCTGGTCCTTAAAGTTCTCTTTATCACCTGGCCCCTTCCTACCTCCCAGAATTTTTAGACTTTGTTCCCCTTTAAGCACTGGATCATAAGCCAGGTATGCTGACTTTCTGTTCTCAGACAGAACACTCCATATCCCAACTCTGTACGTGTATGCTGGCTTCCCTGCGTGCCTGAAATTCCCTCCCTTCTCACTTGTAGCTTCCCCACTTCCTTCAAAACTCAGCTGAAAGCCCACCTTCTGCAGGAAGCCTTTCCCAGTCCCTTTGTCTGCCGCTACCTTCTATTTATTCTGCATTGATCTTGTGTGTATGTAGTTGTTTGCCTATTGTCTCCTCCATTGGTTTATGAGTTCCTTTGGGGTACGGCCCATGTTTTTGCCTTTCTTTGTATCCCCAGTGCTTAGCACAGTGCCAAACACATAGTAATTGCTTATTATTTGTTAATTGCTTGACCAACCCAAGACACGCAAGTAGTATGTGCCCAATACTAGGAGTTACCATGGATCAGGGTGGTAGAGAATTATAAAGAACTCTCTGAAAATATTCATTTCCAGGTTGAGAGTAGACTGGATACCTGCGCATTGGCAGCAAGAATATCTTCTCTGGAGGGAAGTGTGAGAGGGCACATTTTAGGGGCAGAAGTAGATTAGGAAAATACAAATACACATAGCACCCCACAGGGAATAATTTCAAGGTACCCTGCAAGATTGTAGATAGAAGCAAAATACAAGTGAAAGGGAATTTGTCAGCAAAGAAAACATGGACTTGATGTACACTTTTCTTTGTATGGCTGGGGTTCAAATGGAGTCGGATATTTGAGAGAATATCTAAATTGAGTGATATGCTAGGGGTTAAATGAGAGATTAGCACCAAGTTTCCTTAGCTTTGGTAAGTAAAGATATAGTCAGTATTGTGAACTTGTAATGAGACAAATGGTTGTGTGCCTTTCTCTAGTTGGTGTATTTTTTCTTCCTAGAGCCAGGCAAGAACAAAGTGGATAGTAGAAAGTTATCCTGAGTTGCAGATTGTCGAGATGGTCTAGTTGGTGACAGAAGGGAATTCAGGTTGTCATGATGTGTCTTTAAAGACTCCCACGAGGAAAAGCCAAGAACACGAACGGACTGATGTTTCGGAGTGAGGATGCAGAGTGGGTTCCCCTGATGCTTAAGAGCGGGAGCAGAAGAAAAAGTTGGAGTGAGGACAGAGGAGATCCAGGGTGAGAGGTATAGAGATGAAGCAGTGATATTCATGACGAGCATCTAGGCTCTGCCTTTGGCTCTGAAGGCTGAACGTGGAGGGGAGGCGAAAGGAAGGGACACTGCCGACTCTTTTGGCTTCGAAGTTTTCAGTTGTGAATGTTGCCCTCAGCAAAGATGAGGGGCAGCATGGAAAGGTGGAGTGTGGGCCAGATGCTGTCATCATTTGGGAAAGGGTGAGCAGCCCTTAGGAATAAATAGATAATGGCAAACATTAGACCATTTGCAGCTTCCCTTCTCAGTAATTCTGGCCAAACGTAAACTCCACTTTCCTCAAGTGACTTAACTGTAGGTTCTGATGATTCTGTCCCCACAAACACAGGTATAAGTTGGAGAGTGGTTGCTACAGACGGGACAGGATAACCATGACCTCATCAGTAGAGATATGTTAGGTTTGTAACGTCCAGGAGCTATCAGTAGCGTGATTATAGGCAAGAAGCCAGGCACTTAATATGTGCTTCAAGGGTCCCCACCTGCTGCAGGGACCAACCATTAAGATATTTGGGTCACCAGAAGAACATTTTAGGTCATCATTTGCTATATAAATTTGTAACTTTGACAAGCATTTGGGTGGAAATTCCAGCAATACTTGACAACATAAAGACACAGAAATGCAATAATATTGACCAGAGAGTGCAGTGACAAATAAGAGAGTGGTGGGAGGGTAGTCTGATAGAGGTGATGACTGGTGCTGAAGAAAAGGGGAGAGAGGGAGTGAGCTGTTTGTGACAGAAGGGTAAGGAGCTGGCCTCCTTCTGCAAGGCCCTTTCATTTTTGGTATTTACATATGTAAGCCTGAATTTCTCAGAATTTCAGAAATAATGTCCAAGTGGCTACCTATCCGTCATGTGGTGTCCCTGAACGTTCCTTCCATAGCAGAAATTCATGGGAGGCTATTTTGCTCAATGTCCTTTTAACCAAATGAATTCTAATTATTCCGTTGGCTTTACAATCCAAGAGGCCCAAATACACCACTGATGTATGGACTTTAGATAGGGTTTGTCTTTGCATTGAGCCTGAAATGAAACCTGTTTCCCTTTACACCTCTACCTGTTTTTCTCGTTATTTGGGGACAACTTGCCCAGGGTTACACAGCTAGGGGGTATCTTCGTCCAGATTTGAACTAAGGGGTTTCTAAATCCAGGTCTGGTGTTCTATCCACTGGGCCGCTTAGCTGCCTGACATTCAGCGGCAGTGCAGATCTTTCAGCCTGCCACAGATTCTGATCCCCAGTGAGATGCATCCTGGTATTCCATAAATGTTTGACTTGGAGTGCTCTGGGACTTGCGTATCATGAAAGCTACTCCACATATGTAGATGTGGCTAACTTCAGGACTCCCCCAAAGTAGTCATTAACCACTTATTAAGTGCCTGCTGTGTGGCAGATGGGGCAGCGAGGTGGTGCAGTGGATAAAGCACCGGGCCCAGAGGTAAGAAGACCTGAGCTCAAATTTGGCCTCAGACAATTACAAGCTACGTGATCCTGGCCAAGTTACTTCACCCTGTTTGCCTCTCTTTCCTCATCTGTAAAATGAGCTGGAGGAGGAGATGTTAAACCATTCCAGTATCTTTGCCAAGGAAAACCCCAAATGGGGTCATGAAGAGTAGAACACGACTGAAAAATAACAACAACAACAAAATATGCCAGGCATTGTGCCAAATGCTAGGGAGACAAATAAGAAAAAGAGAGTCCTTGTCATTCTAATGGGGGAAAGCAGTACACAGAAGGAAACTGGAAGAGGAGGGAGGACTGATGCCAGAAGGTACCCAGGATGGGGCATGTTTTTCATGGAGTCATAACCAAGCAGAGCAGCTGGTGGGAAATGACGAGGTGGCTGGGCATCCTGAGGCTTTGGGAGCAGGTTTTTATACCATCCTCCAACAGAAAGGTGAGGAGGTCTTTAATACTAAAGTTGAATCAATCTCTGGGATGAAAAGTACATACAAAAGGGTTCCCTGGGTGAGCAGGAACATGTTCGATGTTTCAGGAGTCAGTGACCTTTGAGGATGTGGCTGTGGAATTCACTGGGGAGGAGTGGAGGCAACTGGACCCTGCTCAGAGGAACTTGTTCAGGGAAGTGACGCTGGAGAACTACAGGAACCTGGTCTCCCTGGGTAAAGGCAGCTTTTCGCTGTGCCTGAAAAGCCTTTCTCTGCACCTTCATTCGCTAGAGGCAGTGGGGTATTTATAGAACTTGGCTGAATTTTGTCTTGGTGGGCAGGAATATTTTAGAATACATGCATTATGGAAAGATTCTTGAGCCTTTTGGGATCAAGTGAGAGGTGGTTTCTGCTCCTTTTCCCAGGTGCGATGTCTTTTAGGTAAACTTCCCTGTGGAGCTTCAGTGTCCTGTGTCTGAGGCTGCCCCTTCTCCATTCTTTGTTTTACCAAGGAAAAGGTCAGCACCTAGTACTGTGCCTGTCATAAAGTGAATGCTTAATTAATCCTTGGTAATTAATGAAATCCCTTTGTACTGCCCTCTGTCCCTCCTGCTACACACACTTCTTTTTGCCAGAAGAGGAAGGAGGGGAGATTGGATTCTAAAATGGCTTTCATCAAATATCTTTCTTCCCCATTATTTCCCTTGAGCAGGGCTTACAGTTGCCAAACCAAATCTCATCTTTCTATTGGAGAGAGGAGAAGCACCATGGACTCTGCAGAGACAAGTCCCAGGAGGCCCCTCTTCAGGTAAGGGAGGGCAAATCAATCAGACATGGGGGTCACTCCATAAAAAATCAGAGATGTTCCCTTGAAACCTTCTAACAGAGGTCAAAATTTCCTCTGCTTTTTAAAATAGTTTATCTTTATTTCCTTCCTTTTTAAAAGAAATTATTTTTACAAGTGCTCATTACATGTCCTACTCTTACTCTAATATTTAAGACAAAAAACAAAACCAAAAGAAATATCAGACCCTCCAAACAAATATGCACAGTCATACAAAATAAATTCCAATACTGAACATGTGCAAAAATATATATCTTATTCTACATTTTAAAGCCCATCACTTCCCTAGTAGGAGATGGGTAGAATGTTTCATCTTGAGTCCCCTGGACTCATGGTTTTTCATTGCATTGATCTGAGTTTTAAAAGTCTTTCCAAGTTGTTTTTCTTTATAATATTGTTGTCATTACATAAATTGTTCTCCTTGGTTCAGCTCATTTTATTCTGGTACCTCTGATACTGACCCTTTCATCATTTAAAAAATATATATATATATATTTGTGTGTGAGTTCCCCCAGTCAGCAAAAAATCTATCCTCTCCCTCTCCCACTCCAGTTTTGTTATTGTTGAGTCATTTTTCGGTCATGTTCAACTCTTCATGACCCCATTTGGGGTTTTCTTAGCAGAGATACTGGAATGGTTTGCCATTTCCTTCTCCAGCTCACTTTACAGATGAGGAAATTGAGGCAAACAGGGTAAAGTGACTTGCCCAGGGTCACACAGCTAGTAAGTGTCTGAGAATAGAGTTGAACTCAGGTAGATGAATCTTCCTGACTCCAGGCCTAGCACTCTATCCACTGAGCCACCCAGATGCCCCATAGAGACCCTCTGTAAACCATGAAGGGATTTGAACCCTCAATTTTCTCCTTGAAATTGAAAAGAAAATAAAAACAAAACCCCATTATGAACATGTATAGTCAAGGAAAACGGATTTCTCTGTTGGCTGTGTTCAAAACAACATATGTCTGATTGTGCGCTCTTGAGTCCTTCCCCTCTATCAAGAGGCGTCCTTTGGGATTGTGGTTGTTCATTATGCTGATCAGAGTCACCAGGTCTTTCAGAGCTGCTTATCTTTATCGTATTGTTATCATTATGTAATTATTCTCCTGATTCTGTTCACTTTACTGCATCAGTTCACACAAGCCTTCCCACGTTTCTGTAAAACCATCCCTTTCATCATTTCTTAGAGCACAGTATTATTCCATCATATTTATATACCATAACTTGTTCAGCTGTTCCCAAATTTGTAGGCACCCCCTTAGATTCCAGTTCTTTGCCACCTCAGAAAAGAGCTGAAAATATTTTTTGTACATCCTTAGTTAAGGTTTGTTTTGCTTAGGAGTAATCCTTCTAATTCCCCCTTCTCTCTTTTCTCATTTCCCTCCTGTCTCACTGCTGAGTGGAATGTTTTTCTGTTCAGTTGGGTACTGAACTTTGTGTGTGTGTGTGTATATATATTCTTTTCCTCTACTGACCAAGTTCGATGGAGGTGAGTTTGAAGTGTCAGCCATTGCCCCTGTCCTCTCCATCTCGTTTGTCAAGATGTCTGCTTCCACACACTGACTAGGTGAGATAATTTCTGCTAACCTTGCTTTCCTGTTGCTGCTATTGTATTTCTCTTCCCTTCTTTTTCCATTCTTCTCTTAAGATCAAGACATAACAGGACCACTGTCAGGCCTTGCTTAATTAGACTCCTTCTGTGACCCCAGATGATGGTAGGGTTCAGAGGGGACACATGCCTCACTTCCTCATGTTAGAATGTAAGCAGTTATCCCTGATCATTTTTGTGTTCCTCTTAACTGCTGTTTGAACTTTCAGGTTTCTGCACAGCTCTTGTCTTTTCATCAGGTCTACTTGAAAGTCCTCTGTTTCATTAATGGTACATTTTTTCCCCTATAGGATTATACTATTTTTGGCTATTAGCCTATATCTTTTGCCTTCTATAACAGCATATTTCAACTTTTCTGCTGCATTATAATGGTGGCTGCTAAATCCTGTGTGATTCTAACTGTGGCTCTTGGTACTTGAATTCTTTCTGGCTGCTTAACAGCATTTTTAATTTGTCCTGGAAGCTCTGGATTTTAGTTATGATATTCCTGGGAGGTTTTGCTTTTGAGATTTTCTTAAAGGTAGTAGTTGGTGGATTCAGTTTCCACTTTGCTCCCTGGTTCTAAGAGACCTAAGAGTTTTCTTTTAAGGTTTCTTGAAATATGATGTCTGGGTGGTTTTTTGGTTGTTGTGGTGGTGTTCATGTAGTCCAGAGATTCTTAAATTTTTTTCTGTCAATCTTTTTTCCAGGTCATTTGTTTTTGCTGTGAGATATCTTATATTTTCTCCTATTTTTCCAGTCTTTTTGAATTTGTTTTAATATTTCTTGTTGTCTCACAAGGCCATTGGCTTCTATTTGGTCCATTCTGATTTTCATTGAGTTTGTTGCTTGGGCAAGGTTTTATTCTTCCTGTGCCACGCTTATGTAGTTCAGTTGTAATTCTTTATAGCTCTCATTTCATTTATAAAAAACATTCTTAACTCTTTTTTAAAAGCTCTTGCTTCATCTCTTCTAGTTGAATTTGTGTCCAAGCAGTGGTTTTCCCTGAGATTTTGCCTGTGGGTGTTTTAGAGTCATTTTCTTCTTCTGGTTTTGTGTCTTGAGCATCCCTGCCATCGCAATAACTCTTTTGTTTGCTCATCTTTCCAGCCTGCTTCCTTACTTTGGAATTTAAGTTAGGGCTGGACTCTACACACTTCTGGAAGGAAGGTTTGGATGGCTCCTCTTGCTGCTTTCTTGAAGCATTGAGTGACATGTTACTATGGGACCTTGGGGGCCTGCTGGAGACCTGCAAGCTTGCAGTGCTCTCAGAATGCTCTGATCCAGGGCATAGTCTCCTTGCTGACCCCTGGTCTGAGCTCTGCAATTTCCTGACAAGGGTTTGGATCTGAGTAAGAGTAGATGCTGCTGGACGCATCCACTGTCAGCCAGCTGGAAAATTCTGCCAGTTCGTAGTGATGGAATTGTAGGCTCCTTTTCTTTCTGGGATTTCTACCCCAGTTATTCCTCTGCAGGCTTCAGACTAATCTTTATGGGGAGCTCAGACCCAACTCTGCTCCTGAGGTCTGAGACACACCGCTGCTGCTTCTAAGCTCCTGTGTATGCTGCTCAGGGCTTCCCTACCTGCTAATACCACCCTGGGCAGAGGTCCCCTTCTCAGGCCACCCTAGATCTGTGACCTGCAACTGAATAGCAGGTGTCAAAGCGGCCATTTGGCACCCATTCCTGCACTCTAAAGGTGATGTATATAGACCTGGAATCCTCTCTCCATGAATGCTGGAGTGTGTCAGCCAGGCCCCAGCCTCCTTACTAGACTAGTCCTCAGTCTTCTCTCATCTCCTGATGCCAGCCTGGGCAGGACAAATGATTCTCTGTGAGTTTTTGGGTTTCCCCATCAAGATTCTGTCTGGTGCATTTTCTAGATCTGTTTGGGGAAATTTAGGTGGGAGTGGTGGGAGCTCCCTGTACTATTCTCTGCCACTCCACTATTTGGCTTCTCTTCATCCTTTTCCTTTTTTTAAAATTTTCATTTTTAACAGAACATTTCTTGATAATCTAGGATATAAAAAGAGCCTTCCTGATTCCCCTTCCCCCTCCCTTCTCTTCCAGGAGAGAGACCAACCATCACTTTGAGCATAGACAGTAGTCGCTTGGCTTGGGCAGAAAGCAGACATCCCACGCTCAGTGTAAGTGACTGCAAATTTCCCCATGTTCTCCCAACTGATGGGAAGTGACATCCTCAGTCTTCATCTTTTAAACTGTAAATTGTGTGATATCAACACATTAGTACTTTGACAGCTTCTTAGCATCTCTTTGTGACAATCGGATAACCACATCCAACTTCCCTTCTCTTCGTCTTGTCTGACCACTTTGTTTTAGTTTGGCTTGTAAGGTATAGTATAGGACCTTGAAGGACACTGAGAGGCCCAACATTTTATAGATGAGGAAACTGAGGTACAAAGAGATGTGATAACTACACAGCCAGTAAGTGTCTGAGGTGGGATTTGAATCCAGGTTTTCCTGACTTCTCTCTGGTGCGCCATCCACATAGTCATTCTGACACTGTAGATTTGGAGCTTGAAGGCACTTGAGAAGTCATCTAGTCCAACATCTTCCTCTCCCCTCATTGTACAGATGAGGAAACTAAGCCTTTGGGAGATTAAAAGTGACTTCCCAGAGGTCACATAGGTAATAAATACTATTCCTTACCAGACCAACTATCTTCTCTTTGAATTCCCTTTCTTCTGCTTTTGCTCCTCCTCCATTCCTCATTCTTCATCTTTGTGTGCTCTTCTTTTTGTCTGTTGTTTTCCTCCATTAGATTGTAAGCTCCTTGAGGGCAGGGATTGTCTTTTACCTCTTTTTGTATCATCAGCACTTAGCACAGTGCCTGGTATATAGTAGGCACTTAATGTTTTTTGATTGATTGAATTTCTTTGTCTTTTGCAAATCATTGGCCAAATATTGGGGTTGAAGTGTTTAAAGAATTTAGTATTATCAGTCACATGGCTGAAAATTGGTTGTCAAAACAGACGAACCAATTCACAGGTCCACCGAGAGTATCTTGGTATGCTCGACTTAACTGTGCCCTCCAAAGGTGCGTGTGATGAAATGTCATATTTATTTTTATTTTTTCTTATATATAGTAAGTTGGAACATTCTAATGCATGTGTTGATAGTTTTCCTTTGAAGACTGCTCATTTCTTTTTTTCCCATTTTTGGTCTGTGTCTTTGGTTCAGATTTTTAAAAAATCAATTTCCCACATATATCAGATATCAGACTTTTATTAGCAGTCCTTATCTTAAAAAAATTTCCCCCCAAGTTGCTTACTTCTCCTGTTCCATCTGTTTGATTTTGTTCATAAACAAGCTATTTTATTATATGTATACATAAGTTGCCATTTCAGTGTGGGGATGGGGTGGAGTGTGAGTGTGTGAAATCATCTCTGGGTCATGGGTTTTATTACTGGTTCCTTAGATTTTTTCTTTTGTGAAATTCTAGTTGTCTGTATTCCTTTTCTTCCTATATTGTAGCTATTCTTTGTGGCATTTAACTTGATAGATAGAAATATGCATATTTTATACCCTTCATTTTCCTTTTCATCTTAAAGTCTCTTGATTAGATTTAAAGAATCAAGACAAATACATTCTTTTCACTCAATTTTACTAACTGAAACTTTAATCTCGTTAATATCCCAGCCAACAGAGGTGAATAGGACTTTTGTGTTTTAATGTTTCATTGATATACTTTATTTTTTAAACAATAATTACTTCCTAACCCCTGACCCCATATTACCCTTCATTACAAAAAAAAAGGTTGAAACAGTTCCGTGTTTGTAATTGACAGAGTATTTGATATTGCACCTATTTTGGCAACTAAATATTAGTAGAGAGGAAGGAAGTATTTCCCACCATCAGACACCTGGAAACTCATTGGTCATTACATTCTGTAACCATTGCCAGTGACCTTAGTCATTACATTTATCCAAATCTTTTAGTGTTACCATTTTTGTCTTTTGATGTATTTGTTTATAGAGTTGTTGTCAGGTCTTTTTTTTTTCCTCTGGTTTTTCTTTCTTTGCACCACTGTGTAAGTCTTTCCCATGTTTTTCCGAATTCTTCATATTTCTCATTGATTGTAGGACAGTTATATTCTAATATGTTCTTATGCTTCAATTTGTTCCACCCATTTGATTGGCAGAACACTTTGGAACTGTACTTTATTTGTAGAGTTTTATTATGTAAAAAGTCATGAATGTTTTGGCATTCATGGGACCTTTCTGTCATTGACCTTCACAATAGCTGACATTTATGTGACACTTTTAAGACTTGCAGAGCACTGTGTGTGTGTATACATACATGGATCCTCATTTGATGGGTCATTGTAGCCCTTTAAGGTGGGTGCTGTTATCCCCATTTCACAGATCGGGCTGACAAGGTTGAGTTAGATGCTCAGGAGTCTGAAGCACGAGTACAGTGCTCGATCGACTACACCACCTTGATGTGGGAGGTTTAGTCTAGTACCTTTTCTCCCATAATTCTGAAGTGATTTTCAGAACAGATGAACCAGTAAACAGATCCAGCAACAGCATTTGGGGGGGGCCTGTCCTCCCACCATTTCTCCAACATTGACTTTTTTCCCTTTTGTTATCTTTGCCAATTTCATAGAATAAGATGATAGTTCAGATTTGTTATTTTAAATATTCTTATTATTGGTGAATCTGAACATAGACTGCCAGTCATCCTGGACTCCATACTAGTCCTGTACTTGTGCACTTGCTCTTTTGACTCTAAATGCAGAATCTTAATTTTCCTAGTTAAATGTAAACATTGTTATTTTAGCCTATTTTTTCCCATCTGTGAACACTTTAATCTTGATTAAGAATAGATAAGTCCTGTGCCAGCTGTAATATTAATAATGGGGCCTTACATAGTTTCTTACATGAAAATTGTTGATGTTTTTAATAAAAACATTGACTAATACAGAATTTTGGATGTAGTGTGTTTAGCTACCTACCTGTATGTATCATCACATAAAATACATTTCTCTATATTGTGAGCAATTTAATCTTTAGAATCTTTTTTCAGATAAGTTGATGAAATCTAGATTCATGATACCTTTAACATGCTTTGATAACTAGCCAAGAAATTATTCAATTAAAGACATGAGAGTTTTTTTCCCTGTTCCAGGTTTCCTAATGTTCCATATTATGTCTTAATCCTTTTTAAAGAATTCATAAAGCATCTGTTTGCTTATAGGTAACCAGAATTTTGATAGGAATTGGCATCATGTTTATCAGTCTGTAGCTTCTCAAGAAAATATTTATCTTTTTGAAAGCATATTTATCTAAAGTTTATCAAAATCATTCTCTAATGATCTCTATTACATAGATGTGTGTGTGTGTTTTTAAAAGTAGCCTGAAATATAATTCATTTAGTCTTCTGTACTTGAACCCATTTAAAGCAGCAAGCAAGGTGCTCTGTTCTATGTCCTCACATATTTTTGGTGTCAGTTAAATGGTAGCTAGGTGGCATAAAAGATAGAATGCTGGGCCTGGTGTCAGGAAAACCCAAGTTTAGATCCTACTTCGGACGTTCATTAGCTAATGACTTGGAGTGAATTGCTTAGCCTTTGTCTTTATCAGTTTCCTCATTAAATGGGGGTAATGATAGAACCTAGCTGCCAAGTTGCAAGGATAAAGTACAATAATATTGGTAAAGTGCTTTGCAAACCTTAAAGCACTATAGAAATACTATCTATTATAATTATTGATGACGATGATGATGATTTACTATTAGCAATGTTGGTCTTGCCATCTTTAGACTGCTGATCATTTTCTTTGATAGAGAAGATAAAAACTAGAACTTCTTATAAAAGCAGTTTCTTTTGTCTTAGTGTAGAAGAGTGTATGTTGACATTTTTTCCCCTTACTTTCAGACTGCCATTGTTGGGAGCCTAGGTGTGAAGCAACTGAAATTCCAGTAGGGGGTGTTTCTTTGGGAGAGTCATCCAAGGAAAGACTCAAAAAGGATTATTCCTTGAATTCAGAATCTGATAGTGGATTAGAGCAACGGGATAGCCAAAACGTCTCCAAACAGATAACAATCATAGAGAGGAACACTCCTACTTTAAAAGCCAGTGAATGTGATATATTTGGAAAAGGTTTTGGTGTAGGGACGCTTCTGATTACACAGAAGAGAATTCGAACCCGAAAATATTTAAGCAAATGTGATACACGTGAAACAAACCTCAGACAGGGGTCAGATGAAAGGCAGCATAATGGACTCTTTTCTGAGAAGCTTAGCAGCAAATCTAGATACAATAAGTCATTCAGTTGCTGTTCAGAACTTACTGAACATCACAGAAAATATACTGGAGAAAACCCATGTGAGTGTAATGAATGTGGGCAGTCCTTTGACAGGAGTGGATCTCCTGCTGACCATAAGAGAGTTCATACTGGAGAGAAATCCTTTGAATGTATGGGATGTATGAAGTCCTTTAAGGGGCACGGACATTTGACTGAGTATAAGAGAATTCATACTGGAGAGAAGCCCTTTGAATGTAATGACTGTGGAAAATCCTTTCGATGGAATGGAGAGCTAATTGCACATAAGAGAATTCATACTGGGGAGAAACCCTTTGAATGTAATGACTGTGGGAAATCATTTACATGGAGTGGACAGCTTACTGAACACAAAAGGATTCATACTGGAGAGAAACCATTTAAATGTAGAGAATGTGGGAGATCCTTTAACCGTGGTGGACACCTAACCAGACATAAGCGAATCCATACTGGAGAGAAACCCTTCAAATGTAGCGAGTGTGGGAAATGCTTTATCCGGAGTTGGCAGCTTACCACACATAAGAGGATTCATACTGGAGAAAAACCCTTTAAATGTGGTGAGTGTGGGAAGTGCTTTATTCAGTGCGGAGACCTCACTAGGCATAAGAGAATTCATACTGGAGTGAAACCTTTTGAATGTAACGAATGTGGAAAATCCTTTAGCTGGAAGCAAGAGCTTACTGCACATATGAGAATTCATACTGGAGAGAGACCTTTTGAATGTCATGAATGTGGGAAATCCTTCAGGTGGAGACAGCAACTTACTGCACATAAGAGAATTCATACTGAAGAGAAACTCCTTTGAATGGAATGAAGCTGCTGTAGTCTTTAGCTGACATTAAGACCTTACCAAACATAAGAAAATTCCTATCAGAGAAACATCTTTGGAGTGTGTTAAGTGTGAGAAACATTTTGGCTGGAGTGGGCACCTTAGTAATCCTTTTGGCCAGACTGGATTGAAACTTCACTTACGCTACTGAATATAAACAATCCTTTAGCTCACATCAGGACCTTTCTGAGCATAAGAGGATTCATATGAGGGAGAAAGCTCTCCTGGAGAACATGTGTTTTATTGGATTATACATTGCCTTGAAATGACCATATCCAATACCACTTTTTATGCCATCTGTAAGATGTTAATAACAATTTTTTGTTTTTTGTTGAACATTTGCTGTGATTTCATTTGCTTAGGAAACTCCTTCAGCCAGTGCAACTCAGTACCTGCTCTGCAACTTAAGAGTCTTAAAGAGTTTCTGGGGGGGGACACAGAAATGTCATAACTTAACTAGGGTGACAGTACATCAGAGGTGGGACTTGAACCCAATCCTTGCTGGCTTTTTAAGTCAAGTCTGTGTCCACTACATAGGGCTCCCACTCCAACTTTAAATATATTTATTTTAAAAAGCTCTGAAAATTTTAGAGTCATAAATCATGTTCCTTTTAGTTACCAGGAAGAAGCCTAATGATTACTTCTAATAGAGTCAGTTTTATTTGATAGGAAAAAAAAGGTTTCAAAAACCAGGAATGTCCTTTAATTTAAATATACACACACACACATACACACACACACACACACACGTATGTGTATATATATATATATATATATATGTGGATTTTTAAATATTACCTGCATTTCCCACTTTGTCCTGACTCTACTCCATCCTAGAGAATTATCTCTTATAACAGAACAAAACCAAAACAAAACATTGAAAAAGTCTGATACTATATTTGACATTCCACACCTACTTAGCTTACTGCACAATCTGCAAAGAAGCACTGCTAGGTGTCTTCTCATCTCATCTTTATGGTCAAGTTTTGTCGTTAAATTTTCATAGCTTTCAATTTTGATTATTTAGTTATTCTTTGCACTTACATTGTTAGAAACGTGTATGCCACTTTCCTGGGTCTGCCTATTTCACTGTGTAAGTTATGACTTTTCATGTTTCTTTGCAGTCATTCATCATTCTCTCTCTAGCACATTATTCTTCATGTATAATAATTTCTTTATTCATTCTACCGTCAGTGGGTATCCACTTTGTTTCTAGTTCTCCATAGCCACAAAAAGTGGCTATGTAAATATTTTAATGTGGAAAGGCACATGAAGTACTTCTAGAACAAAATTTACCATGCATTAGGTGAATCTTTTAAAAATGCAGCAATTGCAATGATATTAGACGAAACAAAAATAAAACTTCATCAGCAGAAACAAGGAAATTGTGTTTAAAAGAACCATAGATTAAGAACCAATGTAAATATTAAACACATGCCAAATGTCAAATAAATGTAAAAAATCAAATATTAAATATCTTCCAAACACCATAACAATATAACATAACACTTGGGGCACAAAGTAATAAAGATTTAAATGGAAATAATGAAATTCAAAACAATGAGTGGGTCAAAACAAACCATTGAAATGATAAGTGAAACAATAAAATTTATTCTTTGAAAATTAACAAGCCATTAACCAGCCTGATTAAAAAGGAAAATAATTTTTTAGAAAATTATCAAGATAAGTAACTTCCGGTCAAGAAGGCCTCAGTAAGAGGCTACCACCCATCTCCGACATAACACTACTCTTGAGGCAAGAATGGCAGCAGAAGAAGTAGTTTGGGGGAAGAAAAGTGGTAAATATTACCCAAGAAATGGAATCCCTGAAATCTACAATAAACAAATGGGTGACTTCATGAGACAGCAAAAAATAATAGGACAAAATTGAAAGACTGAAAAAGAGAACAATATTTAAGATACCTGATATAAAAAAGTGGACCTAGGAAACTGATCAGGAAGAGATCATTTAAAAATCATTGGACTCCTTGAAAACCATGATTTTTTTTTTAATGTACTCTATATCTCAAGGAATCATAAATGAAAACTGACTGGCTCCCTTAGAATCAGAAGACAAAGATAAAATCCTAAAAGGCAACAGATATAGATTTATAGCCAAGAATACCTTGTACTGCAAAGCCGATTATAGTCCTACTAGGAGGAAAATGGATTTTTGATAGAATAGAGGACTTTGAGTGTCTGACCAAAAAAAGAAGCAGCAGCAGCAGCTGTGTGTTGCTCAGTCTTGTCTGACTCTGTGACCTCATGGACCATAACACCTCAGGTCCTTCTGTCTCCCAAAGTCTATCCAAACTCATGTTTGTTGGTTCCTATCTGCCTCACTGATCTATCCATCTCATCCTCTGCTGTCCCCCAGATCAGGGTCTTTCACAATGGGTAATGTAACTTTCAAAGCTGTCCTGCTTTTCTGTGTTTCTTGGTCTTCCCTCTGTTCTCTCCTATGCACTTCTGTAAAAATGACTTCAATGATCTTTTCTTTCTTGTATTTTCTTTTTTTATGGCAACAGTAACACTAGACTACCATTTTCTTCTCCAACTGAAAAATAAACAAAACCCTTATAACAAATAAGGATTGTCAGAACATTCACCCCCTGGGTGCATCCAAAATGTATTTCTTATTCTGTACCTGGCATCCATCACCTGCGTTAGGAGGTCAGTAGCATGTGCCATCATTAGTCCTCTGGAGTCATGCTTGTCCCTTGTATTGAACACAGTTCTTGAATCTTTCAAAGTTATTTTCCTTTACAGTGCTCCTACTGTATAAATTGTTGGAGGCTTTCTATGATACACATATGGTCTGGGTACCTAAAAAGAAGGAAAGAGAAAGCAAAGAAAGAAAATTATATACCAGTGTCCTTAACAAAAATCCATGCAAAAAATATTACTATAACAATTAAAAGATTGTACACTAATGAGCAAGTTGTATTTATACCAATAATGCAGGGGTTAGTTCAAGGTGAGGAAAATAAAAGCATAATATTATGGTATTAACAAAAATAATAAAAATCACAATTGTATCAATAGATGCAGAAAAATTTTTGGCAAAAATCAACACCTGTTTCTTTTACAAACCCTAAAAGCACTGAAATAAGTGAACTTTCCTTAATATGATGAGGAGTATCCTTTTATGAGATATAGTCTTAAAAGCTGAACCAGGGAAGGGTAAGATAAATAGAATTTAAAACATATTCAAAATTTAAAAGTAAAAACCTGCCAAAAGACAAAAATTTACCCAAAACACTCACTTTGATCAAGTTGGATTTACTCCAGGCATGCAAAGATGGCTCAACATTTAAAAAACAACATACTTTAAAACCACAAGATGCAGAAACATACTTTGACAAAATATAGCACTTGTTTATATTATCTGCTGTACAAAGTATAGATATAGAAGGAACGTATATACATACGTACATACACACATATATACACATACGTGTAATTTTTATCTTTAAAAGTCATCTAAAACAAAGCTAACATTACAGCAATGTTGAAACACTAAAAGTTTAACCAATAAATGCAGAAGTAAGGCAAGGATGCCCCCTTCCAACATTCCTGTTTTTCATAGTTCTGGAAACAAGAGCAAGAAGAATAAAACAAGAAAATAAAAGTTTAAAGCATAATAACAGGCAAAGGGGAAACATAATTATTTTCTAATGACTTGATAGTTTACTTAGAAAATCTTAGGGAATCACCAAAGACAATAATTGAGATAATAGCTTCAGTAAAGATTATGAAAGAAATCCACAACAATCAACAGGGTTTCTATACAGCTATATAAAAACCCAGGGCACCATGATCAGGAAGTGGGGTCCTATAAAAATACAACTACAAAATGCAATAAATTTCTGGGTGTTGCTTTACCAAAGCACACTCACAGGTATATATAGAATTGTGAATAAGGAAATAACTGGAAGGATATTCAGTTCTCATGGCTAGGTAATGCCAATATTAAAATGATGGTACTATTTAAATTTACTTACATATTTATTGCTACCAATCGAATTACCAACAACATTCTTTTTGGAGAAAGGAAGCATAATAAAATTCATGTGAAGCAACAAAAGACCTAGAATATCAAGAGAAATGGTGGAGAAAAGAATGAATGAATTGTGAATATCATTTCCAGACTTCAAACTACATTATAAATCAATAATCATCAAAGACATTTGGTACTAGTTACAAAAGAGAGTAAGATCAATGGAACAAAACTAGACAAGGAAAATTCAGAAATAACTGAATTCAATAACCCCTCAAATATAAACTCCCTAGGAAAGAACTCAATATTTAACAAGAGTTTCTGGACAAACTAGAAAGCACTCTGGTAGAAATTAGATTAGATGAACAACTTATAGCTCAACAACATATGGCTTGATGGGAAACAATTTTTATAGTATGTCTGATAAAGGCCTCATTTCTCAAATATATCGAGAACTGAGTAAGATTTATAAGAATACAAGCCATTCCCCAATTGATAAATGGTCAAAGGATATGAACAGGCAGTTTTCAGCTGAAGAAATCAAAGCTAGCTATAGTCATATGAAAAAATGCTCTAAATCACTATTGATTAGAGAAGCGCAAATTAAAATAACTCTGCGGTACCACCTCACACTTATCAGATTGGCTAATATGACAGATTGTTGGAGGGGATGTGGGAAAACTGGGACACTAATATACTGAAGTTCTTAATTGCTCTGGAGAGCAATTTGGAACTATGCCTATAGGCTTATGGTATGGCTATATAAAACTGTGCATACCCTTTGATCCAGTAATACCACTACTAGTTCTGTATGTGATTGTGATGGAATATTATTGTGCTATAATAAGCAGGATGATTTCAGAAAAATCTGGAAAGACATGAACTGATGCCAAATGAAGTTGAGCAGAAGCAGAACATTGTACACAGTTAACAGCAATATAGTCCCATGGTCAACTGCAAATGACTTAGCTATTCCCAGCAATGCACTGATCAAAGACAATTCCGAAGGACTCCAGAGAAAGAACCGATGGAGTCTGAATGCAGATGGAAACATATTATTTTTCACTTAATTTTTTTAGTATTTTTTTTCCTTTGGGTCTGTGTCTTCTTTCACAATATGAATAATATGGAAATATGTTTTGCATGATTGCACATGTATAACCTATATCAAATTGTTTACTGTCTCAAGAAGGGGGGAGGTAAGGGAAGGATAAAATTTGGAACTCAAAATTAAAAAAAATGAATGTTAAAAATTGTCTTTATATATAATTGGAGAAAAATAAAGTATGAAAAAAACAACACGTAGCTTGATATGTTAAAAATGGATATGTGACCCGAATATTAAAAATAATGCCATGAAAATTAGTAGAGGGATCTCCTTGATTTCTTTGATTAGTACCAAAATTTTCCAGACAGCTTAACCTGTGTTCAACTTTCTAATATTTCAGAAAGATACAGCAACAACAAAAAATGTATTAAAGCCTTAATCTGAACTTAAATGAATTCCTTTGGTCATTCTGAGGGAGTAACATGCACCTTAGCAGGGCTTTTTCTCAGTCACCTCTTTAGCGGATTTCACTCACCAGGCCTCCCCTCAGACTGCTTCACTGTTTTGGACATCCTCTCTATCGCCTATTTAGAGAAATATGCTAGCACCTCACAGTTACATAGTTCTTAAAGGTTTGTAAAGCACCTTACATAGATTCTCTTTTAATCCTCTGAACAACCTTGTGAGATAGATACTATTATTATACCCGTGTTACAGATTAGGAAAATGTGTTGCATATCTTCAGTTTTGATTTTTGCTCAGATGTCTTTTCCAGGAGGTAGCATCTCCAAGTTCCTGGCTTTCCTGTCAGCAGTAGGCTAAAAATGACCATTTTCCCCAAGCTCCTGAGTCCTCAAGTGTACTGTTTGTGGAACAAGTTAAAGAAGATTTTACCTTGAAACACTGATAAAGACCCAAACTCCAGGTTATTCTGTAGTAGTATTCAGTGTTTTGCACACAGTGACCACTTAAATTCTTCATTTAGGACCACAGAAGAGAGAAGGTTGTCCCCAATATCACTCAAGGGGAAATTCCCAGAAGCCTCTAGTGTAATAACCTGGGAATAGGGACATAACTGAAAGGCTTGTGCCTTTTGGCTCCTTCCAGGAGTCTTTTTATCTCCCTGCAGGGAGGTTGTCTCTAATAGGAACCTGGAACTGCGGGAAGTCTAAAGGATAATGATCAATGCATTAAGTACTAATTCTCTACCAGTCAGGAGAATCTTTTAAAAAGTGGGCTTGAGGCTAGAGTCACAGAAGAAAACTGTCCTTTGCAATGAGATCACCAAGGACTTCATCCGAGAGTTGCCTTGGTTAGTGGAAGGCTGCGCCTCCTTAGAGAGATGGGAGAGAGATTAGGAAAACCTTCTCAGCCCCTCCTGGGCACACGGCTTACACTGCTAAGCTGGGGAGGGAATATGCTGTACTACTCCATCCTCTTATTTTCCTCTTCCCGGAGGTTGAACAGTTTCCTTTAGAAAGGAAGAGAGTCCCAACTCCCTAATTCTGAGAGTTGTATTCATAAGAGGACTTTCTGCATAAGATGCAGACACCACGTATGATGGGGGCAAAGAGAGAAAATCCCCTTTTCAATCCCCATGAGGTCAAGAGCTCAGTTATCCCTCACACTGTTGTGACTATTGGGAAAGTCTTTGGGTTCTAGAAGAGTATCTGTGGCCTAAATTCTTTGAATTCCATGTGAGAACGGTATTCATAATTCACGATAGGTAGGCTCAGTATTAACACATGAACACCTTTCCCATTATGATTACCTCTGTGACTATATTAACAGAGCTCAGAGTGAGTCTGTTAATGTGGGTCCACTCCTCCATATGCTTACATGGAGATGAAATCTTTTCTCCTTTTGATAACCAGAGTGCTTTCCTGAAAACCACGACTTCCATTTCTGTGGATGAGAAACTGAGGAGAGAGAGAGGGAGGATGGGACTCTACAGGAAGAGTTCATTACTCCCCCTCCCCCTCCCCCACTTCAGGGAGTGTCTCTCCCTCCTCTCCCTGGGCTCAGTTCTTAAGCATGTGTTAACCAGACCTGGGGCAACTGGAGTTCATACTCCCAGGAGTTACCCTGGAATTTCCTGCCAATATAGCTACCAAGATGGGAGGCAGATTGCAGTCAGAGAGAAAAGGGGTAAGGGCAGGCAGAGTCTTTTACCCTTACCTCCATCTTTGAAGCTGGCCACTGTTCAGGAATGTAGAGGAAGAGAGAAAATTTTTACCAACGACTTTTTCTTTCCAACAGTTTCCAAACCATTTACTGTCAAACCCTCTGTTCACACTTTCAGCTATGACCTCAAAATAACAAGAAAGCTCATTAATCTTTCCAGTGTTCTCTCTAGCTACAGCCCTTAGAGGTTTTTTTCTGGCTGGCTGCATTTTAAATCTTACAAGGTAGCAGACTCAAAACATTTACATCATGAAGAGACATAAACACAGAGCAGATTAACATGACAAATACAAACTGAGAGTGGATAATGACTGGGAGAAGGGAAAGTCCAAAAGCTCCCTGAAGCTTGTTAGAAATCTTCACAAATCTGTGCCTGTCTTGGGGGGGGGGAAGGGGGAGAAAAATTTTCAACTCAAAAGCATATGGAAGTGATTGTTGATAAATCAAAATAAATTAATAAAATTTACAAAAAAAAGAAAAAAGAAATCTTCACAAATCATTTTTCTTGGTCCTCAATATCATATGGAGGCCAGGCTCTATTACAGAAAAATATGAGGCGCCTACTTTTTAAGTCTTGCAAGCTGAATTTGTTCCAATTTTGCAGGAGGCAGACTGGTAGTATGTCCCATGGGATGGGGGGAGATGATGATGACTGTCCCATAATGCTGTAAGCCTAGAGAAATCCTGTATATAGTCACTTGCCTTGTCACGTGGCATCCTGCAGAGAGGAAGGAAACAAGTTCAGGGAGCTCACCTCAAAGTCCCAAAATAGAGCATCCTCTGTCTAGAGGGAATTTGCCCATGACCGGTGCCATCCAGTCTTCCTAGGTACTTGAGGGAACCAAGCTAAGGGAGGGGAAAGGGAAAGGCTTCTGTTGGGTTGGAGAAGGTCAGAATCAGAGACTGCCCGACGGTGGGTGCCAAAAATATTGGGGTGTCAAGATGTGTTTCAGGGTTGTCTTGAAAGAATTCATAGACTCAAACCATCTCCAAACCAAGCAAAGACTTTTATTGAGGATTAGGCTCTCTCAGCAGGCTAAGTTCCTTGAAGGAACTAGCAGCTTAGCAAAGCATGAGAGGGATGTTTACAGAGCAAATATGTCATTAGCGTAACAGAATACATGAATTTTAAAACATAGGAGGGCTTTACTAATATGAGGAGAAGTCCTCCCTAGCCTTAATGGAACTGTACATGTGGCCACCCATAATGCACACAGAAAAGCCCACTGGAGGGGTATTAATGTACGATAATGATATTATAACAAGCCTCTCTATGTCATAAGTTCACCCAGAGGACAGTCTTTGTTATTACTGCACTGGCGCCTACCTGGGGAAGTCCCTTCTGTGATTTAGTGGCCAACATCCAGCTTAGCATCCTGTTGGTACCGTGGTCTTGCCTAAAACTAGATGGATGGGGTTGAGTTCATGGACACCTGCTGTTGTAGTGAGGCATATGAGGAAGTTGGGATATTGGGGCTGGGAGCAGTGGCTAGCCGCCATCATAGACAGCTATGTACGTACAAGATCTATAAAGTATAAACGAGAAGTGATTTCAGAGGGAAATCACTAGCAGTGATGGCCACAAGGAAAGGCCTCTTGCAGAAGGTGGGATCTGAGCTGAGTCTTGAAGGAAGCCAGGGAAGCGAAGGGGCAGAGGTGAGGAGGGAAATCATTGCAGGGATAGGGAACAGCCAGTGCAAAGACATGGAGTTGGATTGTGGATTGTTCTGTTCATGGAACAGCAAGAAGACCTGTGATATCATCACAACTACTAACAGCTGTCCTGTACACATTCTATGTCTCTTCTGCTCCACAAAGAGCTAGATATGATGAAAAAGTTACAAACTGAAGCAGGAAGCCAATTCAGACAGGGATTACATGTAAAAAGGGGACAATAATTACAATGTGAGGTTGTTGTGTGTTTTGTATCTTTGAAATTGTTATATGAATACGAGCCATTTTTATATACTGTATGATCCTGGGCAAGGCACTTAACTACTCTAAACCTCTTCCATCCCCTCTCTCTCTCCCCTCATTAATAAAAACTGACATAGTAAGACAAAAAGAACCTTCATCTAGATGATGGAGAATTAAATCGATACGGCATATATAAATCCATCCTGAAGCCCCATATACATGTCAGATATTATTACTAATTAGAAGCAATACTTAAATGTTGCAGAGAAGCAGAATAAAAGATCTTCTTGTCTCATCCTCCCATTTTGCAGATGAGGACACGTACCAAGAGAGGAAAAGTGGTTTGTCCAAAGTTATAGAGAGAGGAATTAACGACTTTAGGTTTCCCTTGATCTCTGCTATCCTCTTCTAAAACTATCCCTGTCCTTTCTTTCCCCTTGAAGTTATTTTAATAGCTCCAATGGATCAAGATCCAGAATGGCAATTTTCCTAACATTTTTCTTGTGAACTCACCTTCTAGTCCTAAATGTGTTTTCTTCTCCTTCGGTGCTCACCTTTCATACTTCTCATTCCCCTTCCACCTCTTTGTTTGCTTCCATACTTCCTCTTTTGTCCCTTCCAGTTCTGCCCTTTGTTTCTGAGCGTGAGGATGTGTAAGGATAGATTAGAGAGTGCCCAATACCATGTGCTCCCTGTATGTGTACGCCATTTTCAGTTGCATTACATGCTCTTCAGTTTCTCTTTTCCCAGTTCAGGGAACCGGAGGCATTAACACTCTCTGTTTATCCCTTTTTAGACCTGGAAGCCAAGCCTGAGACTGCAGAGACACTTCCAAATGGGAACATTCTAGGGGAAGAATTGTTGAAAGAAAAATTCGTTGTTCTGGCTTTCACTCTGATTAATGAGGCAAAACTGAGGATAAAGAAAATTAAAAGGCGATGATTAAAAAGTGCATCAAGGTAGCAACATGTTGACAGGCTAGTCCCCGGAGATCAGCAATCACAAGATAAAGCCAGCTTTTACTGACAACCTTCATAATGAGATAGACAATTGGGACAGGTCCATGTCAGTCAAAAGAGATGGGCCACTGCATCTCAGTTCCTTCCCAAGTTAGCAGGCACATGACAACTGCCAGGTGCAAACATGTAGGGAGTGACTTGGTATGTGATGAGTAGCAGATAATACAAAGCTGCAGACTGGGTGATGACTCCCTCAACACTGACTGACAAGCAGATCTGGGAACAATGGGTCACTGAAAGAGCATAACTTTCAACAGAATCATCCAAAGAGATGATAGTAGGAAGCCACAGAGGGATGATCTCTGCTACTCCATTTTTGATGAATGTGAGAGCAGAAAAAGTGGCAGCATTGAACCAGAAGAGTGATTCGAGAAAAAAATATCTAAATATCAGAAATGTTATAAATGCAAATAACATGGAGACACCTGCAACTCAAACATTATTGTATATCAGAGAAGTCATACTGGGGAGAGAAGCCTTATAAATATAATGAATGTGTAAATGCCTTTAGTCAAGGATCAGAGCTTGTTAAGCACCGGAAGATTCATACCAGGGAAAGCCCTTTAATTATGATAAATCTAGGAAAATATTCTGTGACAGCTAAAGCCTCATTAAACAGCCCAGGAGTCATAATGGAGAAAAGAACTGTAATTGCCGTGGATGTGGGAAACCCTAGACTGAAGTTTCAGAGCTTATTCAACACCGGAAGATTCATACAGGAAAAGGAATGTCCAATAACCTCCATCTTGGCTCACAACGAATTCACCATCAGTTGATTCATACTGGAGTTTTTGTTCAGTTGTTTCAATTATGTCCAACTCTTTGTCTATCCCAAATTGCTTGCCATCTCAGGGAAAGGTGAAGGAAGGGAGGAAAGGGAAGAATTAGGGATTCGAAATTTTTTAAAATGAATATTAAAATTGTTTTTACATGTAATTAGAAAAAAGCCAAACTATTATTTAAAAAAATAAAGTATCAGCTCTTCCAGCAGCTATTAGTGTGATCTTCAGCAAGTGACTTACTCTGCTTCAGTTTCTCTGCCTATACAATGAATGGTGAATAAAGGAAAAGAAAGGTTTGAAAAAGCAGCTGACATTTGAATCTCTCATCTGAACTGTGAAAGGAGGGAAGAATACAAATCCACAGTTGGGGACAGGGAAATAAAAAAAGAAAAGGAAAAGAGGAAATTAGAGGGAGAGTAAATGGAGGGATTACTCCTAAGCAAAGCAAACTTTGATGAAGTATGCACAAAACCACTCAGATCTTTTTGAGGTGGCAAAGAATGGGAATCTGACAGGGTGCCTATAAACTGGAGAATGAACAAGTTGTTGTATATAAATGTTAAGGAATACTAAAATGATGAAGGGGACGGTTTCAGGGAAAACTTGGGAAGACTCGTATGAACCAGGAGAACAATCTATACGATGATAACAATATGGTAAAGACACACATCTTTGATAGACTTAGGTAGTGACCAACTATGTTTCCAGAGGACTAATGACGAAAGACATTACCCACTTTTTCTGCACATGGGCAAAGCATAAACTTGTCTCGCTCAACTCCACATGTCTGTCACAGGTTTTTTGTTTTTTCTCATTCTGTGTGCGTGTGTGTTGTGCACAGGCTACAAGGCTCAGGGCCGGCAAGAGAGAAGGCAGATTTTCGCTGATTAAAACAAATGAACCCGTCTTAATTCCAGGGCCATTGTTCTATAGAGTGCAGCCCATCAAGGGCTGAGTCCTGAGCTCAAGTTCGGCCTCACACACTAAAACTAGTCGCGTGACCCTGGCGAATCTGTGCCTCAGTTTCTCCATCCGTAAAATGGGGATAACAGCACCATCGTGAGGGCCAAATGAAATCATACGTGCAAAGTGTCGCTAGCTACAATTATTATTAGTGCTAGAAGTATGTGATTGTTTACCCTGTGGCTCAGGCCCTTTCTTGCCCTCCTACCTCTGGGCCCCACTCGAGTGGAGGCCCAGGCACATCTTCCCGCGCAGGAGACTCCACAGCCTCCCTTTCCCCTCCCTGATCTTACTCACAAGCCCAATACCTGAAAGGAGAGAAGCAAAAAGGTCCTAGGGTGGAGACCTGGTGGATGCCCACCCCACGTTCCGCCCCCGAGTCCTCCCACACGACGCCAAACCCAGGGTTCGCGGCCTCCTCGGGGAGCCATCCCGGCAGTGGGCCTGCGCGCTCAGCTCCCGGAGCATGCGCACAAGTCTTTCCAGGACTCAGAACTGCATTTCCCAGAAGGCCTATAGACGATGGGCGGTTCCCTGGCGTCCTTGGAGCCGGTTGCCATAGAAACATTCAGGTCCAGGAGGAAACCCTCCCGAAACGCCTGCGCCCAGAGCAGCTCCCCGCTTCCGCTTCCGGGTGCTCATCTCTCGGCTGTCTCCCTCGGGCCTCTCCGGGGAATCTCGGGTTTAGGGCTGGAGGTTCTGTTGGGCAGGGCCGGGGCCGGCCGCGGAGGACCCCGCGCATCCTGCGAGGGCATGGGCACTGCCCGCGCCCAGGTGAGTGGGAGCCGTGCTTGTGTGCGGTCTCCAGGCGTCAGGGACCCAGAAGACCTCCGTGCCCAGTGTGGGGGGCTGCCCTCTGAGGACTGCGGGCCCGGGGGGTCAGGGCTAGGACGGTGAGGGACACGCCGGTAGAGGGGCTAGGACTTTACAGCACGGAGCGTTGAGTTTCATTGAGCAGACTAGACTGCGGCTAACTGATAGTCAGCATTAATTAAGCGCCTACTGTATGCCAGTCACTGCCAAGTGTTGGGCTCGGCCCTAAAGGAGCTCACAGATTTAATGGGGGAGACAGCTTGCAAACAACAATGTACAAACAAGGATAAATTGGGGGGTCTTAGTTTGAAAGGGAGGTCACCAAGATTAAAGAGGCTTGGGAAAGGCTTCTTGCAGAAAGTAGAACTTTGGCTGAAACTCCCGTGCGTGGGGGACAGTCAATAAGAGTGCCCGGAGTGGTGAGAATATGGGTCTTGTGTGTGGAACAGCAAGGGCACCATTGTGACCGTAGAGTGGACATCGAGGTCATTCACCCCGAGCTGCCTCTGCTCTCTTCTTCCTCGCGCTTCATTCAGATATTTTCCCTCATAATCTCTGCCCTCATTCCTATTTCTCAGGAAGGAGAGACCAACCTTGCAAAGTCCCCTTCATCCAGTCCTTTCCCATGTTCTCCAGTAGATCACCTGCACCATCATACCACTGTAGTCAATCTCTACTCATTTTCTGGCTTCTTCCTGAGCCCTACAAATATGTCCACATCTCATGCATTCTTTAAAAAAAAAAACAACATATCATCATATCTCTCTTTCCCTTTGAGATTGAACCATTCGAGAAAACCATCTATACTATGTGCTTTCACTTCTGATCCTTAATGCTTTGATCCTTTCTCCAGCCTCATTGTTGAACTGAAACTGTTATTCTTTTTTTTTTTTTTTTTGCGATTGGGGTTAAGTGACTTGCCCAGGGTCACACAGCTAGCTAGTAAGTGTCAAGTCTCTGGTCAAAGACCAAAGGACTTGAACTCAGGTCCTCTTGGCTTCAGGGCCTGTGCTCTATCCATGGCGCCACGTAGCTAGCTGCCCCTGAAACTGTTATTCTTAAGGTTGCCAACAAATCTCTTAGTTATTCAGTCTGATGGATTTTTCTTTTTCCTCATACTTCTTGACTTCTCTGCAGCATTTGACATGATTGGTCATTTTGTCTTCTCGAATAGTCTTTCCTCTCTGGGTTTTCATGACACTGCTCTCCCTTGGTTCTCCTAGCTTTCTGATTATCCTTTTTCAGTCTTCTTCACTGGTTCTTCATCCTTGTCAGGACCACTAACTATGGATGTTCCCAAAGTCCTGGTCTAGGATCTCTTCTTCTTTTTTGCTTTATACTACTATATTATCAGGGTTTGATATCTGTATGCAGATGATTCCCAGATTTTAATATCCAGCTACCCTGTCTCCTGTCTCCTGAGCAATAATCACAGATGACCAATTGCCTTTCCAACATCTTTAAATTGGATGTCCTGAAGACACCTCAAATATAATATGTCCAAAACAGAACTCGTTAACTTTCCCTCCAAACTCTCCCTGTTCTGAACCTCCCTGTCACTGTGGAGCCTACCTCCACGCACTTACCATGCTTCTTCCAGGCTCACAATCTCAGCATCATTTTGAGCTCCTTATTCTCACTCATACCACCTAACTCACCTCAAATATCTCTTGTGTACTTCTTACTACTCACATTGTCACCAGCCTTGTTCCAGGTCTTATTGCCATAGACTTTTAATTGGTCTCATGTTCCTTCCTGTTACAGTGCATCTTCCATTCAGCTGCCAAAGTGATTTTTTCCTAAAACATAGGTCCAACCATGTCATCCTTCCAATCTCCCCCATCCAGTGAGCTTTTGTGGCTCCCTTATTACCTCCCAGATCAAAGGTAAAAGCCTCTGTTTGGCAATTTAAAGATCTGCATAGCCTAGCCCCTTTCTGTCATTTCATTCTTTTTACATTTTTATGCCTCTACACACGCTCTACAGGCCATCAGTATTGGCCTACTTACACATGATACTTCGTCTTCCATTTCCTTGCTTTTCAACTGGGTGTACCTCATGTCATACTCTCCCTCCCTTTAGTGTTCTTGACTTCCCTGAAGACTCATATCAAATTTCACTTTCTTCAGGGGGCCTTTCCTGGTCCACTCAGCTGCTAGTGCCTTCTCTCAGATTACTTGCCATCTCCTCTATATATACCTTGTCTGCTAGTAGTTATTTACAATTGTCTCCCCTATTAGAATGTAAGCTCCTTGAGGTCAAGGACCATCATTACCTTTCTATGTATCTTCAGTCCATATTGAGTGATTAATGAGGGAATTTGTCAAGGAAAAAAGATAAACTTGGTGTACACTTTTTTTTAGGAGAGTATGATTAGGACAGGAATGGCTATAGTTGGACAGGTGAGGAGAAAATAGCCAAACTTGGCAGGAGGCGATTATTTAAATGAGCCATTTGTGTTGTTTCTGTAGCATTGGTAAGTAAAACTAGGAAGTCAGCAGCATGAATCTGTAGTGCGGCAGATTTTCTTGGTTCTGTCTTTCTCCTTCATGTTTTTCTTCTTAGAACCAAGTATGAACAAAGCAGAAAATGAGACAAATCCAGAGGTACAGATTTTTATGTTAGTCATATTGGAAAGTCAAGTGGACTAGGGTTTTTTTTGAGAGATCTCAAAAGTAGCATACCATGGAAGCTCTCTCTTGAAAGTAAAGTACAGTTAAAGGTAGATTGCTGTTTTAGAGTGGATTGGTGGGTAGCATGTGAATGAGTTCACGCATTATTGAGGATTTAGAATAGGTCCCATTGATACTTGGCTGTGGAAAGAATGATCAGGAAAGAAGTTGGGGTGAGAAATAGGGAAGTCAGTTTGAGATATATAGAAATGAAGCAGTGGTATATGGCGATGAGGTCCAAGTTGTGTCTGTTTGTTCTGATGGCTAAATGCAAAATGGAATGTGATGGTAGGAGATGTTGGTTACCCCATTTGACTTTAAAGTTTCACATTACAAGTGTTGAAATCATTAAGAATAATAGGAGTGGGACAGAAAGCACAAAGTATGGGTCAGGTGCTATAGACATCTCATAAGGCAGAAATGACTCCTGAGCTGAGTAGCTACAGGCAAATTTTATGCCATTTGTGACTTGCTCTCTAAGTAATTATACCCCAAACATGGATTCTGAGTTCCTTAAGTGACTTTATCTTGGGACTTGGTTCTTCAAGTGACTGTCTTATCGGAAGACCCAGTAGGTTCTCTCCCCACAAATATAGATGGAGGTGGTTGCTACGCACAGGATAGGATAGCCATGACCCCATCAATAAAGGCATGGAAAATTGGTAACTTCCAGAAGCTCTCAGTAGTTTGGTTACTGGCAAATAACCCTTTTGGTGTGGGTTTTTTTGTTTTGTTTTGTTTTCTGGTGATTCTGTCTACTGCCAATGCTGAGTCATTCTTGCAAATAAAATAAATATTAATAAACTTATACACGTGGTATGTCTTATACAAATTGTACAGGTGGTAGTCCAAGAAAAACAGGTTTTGAAAGCAAAATAAGGCCTTAAATTGGCAGTTTCAACATGTTTCTCTGTAGTACTATTAACCTTGATAGGTGTTTTGAATGTTACTTTATTGATATACTCCCCAGTAATGTTTCCTGATATTTTTCAGTGTTTAAATATTTGCTGTCAGATAGATACATTTCTTTTGTAAATATTTTTAAACTTGATATTTTTACTTATTAAGCAAAATTTCTAGATATCCATAATAATAAGTAAAGAGTTTGAAGAATGTTTAAAGTATTTTGAGAAAAATAAAGAGAACCAGTCATTTCATTGATAGATGTGTTTTAAATCACTGTCACATAAGAGTTCATAATAATAGACCATGCATTTATTGTTATGTCTTTTTTTTTTTACAGAAAATATCTCAAATTTTTAGCATGACCCTATCAGAAAAATGATTCAGTGTTTATTGTCATGGTCATTCATTATCTAAAAACATGTAAATAAAATGTTCTGAAACTACAGAATAACTTGTGATTTGGGGAATTCTTGAGCACTCTGATTTCTCATGAATCCCAAAATTTAATATAGTTTGGTTATTTAGAAACAGGTGGGAAGGCAGTCTAAAATTAATGATTCCATGAAACAACAAGAAATATTAAAATAAAATCAAAATTCTGAAAAAGAAAATAGGGAAAATATAGACTCATTTCAAAAAAGCTTATCTGGAAAATAATTTGAGAGATAAATTTAAGAATCACTTGACTGTCTGAAAACCATGACCAAAAAAAGAAAAAGCATGGCTATCATATTTCAAGAAATTATTAATAAAAACTATATTAGAACAAGGAAAATAGAATCTCTCAGCCATCTCTTAAAAGAAAGCCCAAAATAAAAACTCTCAGGGAAACCATAGCCAAAATCAAACTTCTGAGTCAGATTAAAAATATTACAAGCAGCAGAAAGAAAGAGGTCAAGTCGCCAAGACCCATAGTCAGGATCACACAAGATTTGGCAGCTACTACATTAAAGAAGCACAGAGCTTGTAATGTAACATGCCAAAAGGCAAAAGATAAAAACTTATAACCGAGAGTAACTTGCCCAACAAAGCAGATTCTGGGGGGGAAGAAAATGGATCTTTAATATATCAAAGAAAAAATTAATGCAAATAATGGACTCTGCATTTTAATGTTCACATCTGCCTGAAACAGTTTTGTTTTTAATTTATGTCCTACTGTATCCAATTTTGTGTTATAATCTTATTTATTTGTTTTTTGGTTTTGGGGTTTGTTTTTTTTGGCTAGGCAATGGGGTTAAGTGACTTGCCCAGAGTCACACAGCTAGTAAGTGTTATGGATCTGAGGCCAAATTTGAACTTAGGTCCTCCTGACTCCAGGGCCGACACTCTATCCACTGCGCCACCTAGCTGCCCCCATATAATCTTATTTATTAATTTATAATTCTATTTATAAATAATAAATAAAAGGTTTTATTATTTTTATTATAAATAAAATTAGAAAATAAATAAAAGGTTTTATTTATAATTTTATTTATAATAAAAATAATTTATATCCAATTAATTTATGTCCAGCCTATTTCTGGCATGGAAAGATATCCAAACTAGCATAATCCCACATGCCTTCCATCATGACTTTGCCCCCTCAGGTAACATTTATTGGGATATTGATCAGGGGAAAGATCATACTATGTAAAATACAGTTTGAGTTAACATTTCAGAATGTTTGAATAATAGTCTCTTTCCGTGTCTGGAATTCTCTTACTTTTTACCTATACCTCCTTGCTTTCCTGTCTTCTCTTTGGTCTTAGCTGTAGCCCCATCTTCTACGAAATGCCTTTCTCAGTTCTGCTTAATCTTAGTATCTTTCCTTTAAGATTATCTCCAATTTACCCTTCATATATCTTTTTTGTGCACGGTTGCTCATATGTCGTTTCCCCCATTAAACTGTAAGCTCCTTGAAAGCAGGGATGCTTTTTTGCCTTTCTTTGTATCCTCAGCACTTAGCATGGTGCCTTGCACATAATAGGCTTAATAGATGCTTCTTCATTTGACTTTCCTCCTTAAACATTCCTCTTACTTCTGAAAAAACCAATGTGGCCTTTCTGAGGAGAAAGATTGGCTCTGAGGTCCAGTTGTTTCAGGTAGGTAGAAAAAAAGAAGACTTCCCTTAGATAAGTTAACTCAGTCACTTCAGGAGTGGGTAAGGCAGTGATGGAAACCAGACTAGAGTTATTCTCTGTTAAAAGGTTGGTTACACCACTAATCCATTTCCCTCATGAAAGGCCTTTCTAGCCCCACCTTATCACCCACCTTTCCAAAAGGCTTTTTCTGGAGTCTGGAAAGGGCTTTACAGAAAAATATTATTTCTTTATGTTTTCAGTTTTACTAAGAAAATTAATAATATGCTTCCACATGTGAGAGAACTTTTAGTCCATATGAAAAGACTAAAGCTGAGTAGAAACTTTGAAATGCAAACACAAGAGTCCAAAGAAAAATATAAAGGTAAATATGCTTGTGCAAAGGGGTAGTACAAGGATGAAGTGTTTACAATCTGAAGTGTTTACAGTGATTCAAGTGTCCCTCCAAAACCTTAATGTTGTCAGAACTTATAGCCAGAGTTAAATAAGACAAGGGCTTGGAGTGATTTTGTTATGTTCAGGTGATCGTAAGAGAAAGGAAAGGGAGAAGAAAGGGAATGTAGAAGAAAAGGATGGGAAGAATAGGGGGAAGTTAGGTTGTTAGGGTACAAATAAATACTATACAAACAAGGAAGAAGGGATAGGAAAGTGAGAAAAAACAAAGAATTTATACACCAGCAACATCATAAAGACACACAGCTTTGAAAGACATGAACTCTGATCGATACAGTGACAGACCATAATTCCAGAGGACTGATGACAAACCATGCTGAGAGGTAACGAACTTAAGATGCAGAATGAAACATATCTACTGCACATGGAATTTGTTTTGCTTAATTATGCATCCTTGTTATGAGAGTTTTGTTTTTCTTTTTTCCCAGTGGAGAGGAGTAGAAAAGAAAGAAAATGCTTGTTAATTTAAAAAATTTCAATTTAAAAGGGTATCTGGTTTAGTCGACATTATTTTCTTTCATGCATCAACTCAAAAGAAGTTGAAAAGTCCTTCCATCAGCCAGATAATTGCAGTTCTGATTTGCTGTCATCTTTTCAGATTGTTGTTGGCACCCAAAAGCTTGGATCTTTTTAAGTAACTAATTGTTTTACCAGAGGATGGCTTTTAAAAGTCTTTTATTGTCAGATATTATACTTCTGGAGGCAGTATTAGACTAGGTGTTTATTTCTATTTCTGTAAGAGAAGTGTTTGAATTTTAAAGGGGCCTAATGGATTACAATGCACTTGTTTTCCAGGGAGGCAGGCAGACTCCTTTGTTGGCCCAAGAACATTCAATGTTCATGTCTGAAAGGAGAGCCTTGACCTCCAGTCGGGTTAGGGTGCTCTTTTTCCCTGTAGGTAGGGGCAAAGGGCAAGAGATGTATCACGATAAAAGCCATCATAGGGCTAAAGAATGTAGCATGGTCCAAGACCAGAGTTGGGGATAGGCATTCTTTTTTTTTAATTTTTTTTATTTCTAGGCAGTTGGAGTTAAGTGACTTGCCCATGGTCACACTAGTGTCAAGTGTTTGGTCTGAGGCTGGATTTGAACTCAGGTCCACTGTGCCACCTAGCTGCCCCGGGGATAGGTATTCTTAATCCTTTGGGATGGGGAAGTTGTGTTCCCATCCACCTTTGCCTTAAAAGGAATACCCATAGTAGGAAGGTTTATGTGGCTGGAACTGCCTCTAACCTTCTACCTTTCTGTATCATCTTAGGGACCCTTGTTATACTGAAGGGCCCTACGGTGTAGGTGTGAGTCAGTCAGTCAATAAACATTAGTGCTTATTATACCAGACATCATGCTGACCACCACGGATAAAGAAAGGTCACTGTTATTGAAGAGCTCATGTTCTGAAGAGGGAGACAACATACAAATAACTATGTACAGATATGCTGTATATAGGATAAATGGGAAATGATCAGCAGAAGCAAATCACTAGAAATCGAGAAGAGTCAGGAAAGGCTTTCTGTAGAAGGTGGGATTTTAGCTTGAACTTCAAGAAATCCAGGAAGTGGAGACGAGGAGGGGAAGCGTTTCGTTCATGGGAGACAACCAGTGAAAATGCTCAGGGACGAAGCTGGTATTCTTTTAAGATTATTAGCTAGAAGGAGTTAAGAAGTAAAGTGGTATCATCTTGGTCATGCAGGAGCTGCAGGGGTGGTCACAGTGACTTGGAAGGTAGATCATTGAACTCACATCCGCCTTCTAGGTGGGTTTTAAAAGACCTTTATGAACTATGCTACCTTCTCCATGCACGGTTGATTCTTCTTACTTCCTGGCTGACATAGCTTCTGTATACCTTTAATGGCTATAATTTTTGTTACCTTGACAGCATTTGGAGGTTACTCTTTCTTGCAGGCCATCGATTTGGGAATTACTTCCCAGTGTAATCTGTCTAAAGTAGTAAGTTTAATACTCAGCAGATTCAATTAGAGCCCAGCTACTTTTGTCCAACTGTGAGTATTTGTTAGTTTCCAAACTGAGAGTGTAGCATAGAATGTCCTTGGGCCTCGCTTGAGGAGACAGTGTATAAATCTGAAATTCAGCAGCAGTGCAGAAACTCTGAGGACGCTCAAGTCTAATCCTCGGGGAGGTGCATCCTGGTCCTCGATAAATGTTTTACTTGGAGTGCTCTGGATGCCATGTATTGTGAAAGCTCCCTGTGTGTAGATCTGGCTAACTTTAGGACTTCCCCAAAATACATTAGAGAGGATTTCTGGGTGAGAAGGAATATGTTGCATGTTTCAGGAGTCAGTGACCTTCAAGGATGTGGCTGTGGAATTCACCGAAGAAGAGTGGAGACACCTGGACCCTGCTCAGAGGAACTTGTTCAGGGCAGTGACGCTGGAGAACTACAGGAACCTGGTCTCCCTGGGTAAAGGCAGCTTTTCTCTGTGCCTGGAAACCTGCTCGTTGGCCTTTCTCTGCACCTTCATTCTCTAGAGGCAGTAGGGTATATGTAGAACTTGGCTGAATTTTGTCTTGGTGGGCAGGAATATTTTAAACTATATGTAATACAAGGAGAAGGAGATCTTTCAGTCCTTTGGGACTGAGAGGGAAGTTGTTTCTGTGCCTTGTTCCCAGTGCTAGTGTCCTTTTGGTAACTCCCACATAGAGCTTTGTCATCCCTGAATCAACGGGTCAGGCCTCAGCACAGTGCCTTTCATAGTAATCCTTGTGAGTTAAATTTTAATGTAATTTGATAAATATTTAATATGAAATATGATACACAATATAATAGTTGTTGAAAGAATGAAGATTCTATACTGAAACACCAAGCAAAGCAGGTATTTGAGAAAATGAAAGATTCCTTTTCCCCTATGTGGGGTAAGATTATATGAATTTTCTGTTTGAGCCTAAATTTACAATGTGAGCCACCTCTCTGTACCTCCTGGGAATACAGTGTGTATCAAGCATTCTTCAGAGTCCCTTTGTGTGAGGCAGAGTCTCTGTCCTTCCTAGCCACACACGAAAGAAAAAGAGCTAGGATTGGGTCATGTAATGGTTCCCTTCAAAGACCTTTCTTGCCCATTTCTTTCCCCTGAGCAGGACAAAGAATTACCAAATCGGATCTCATCTTCCTTTTGGAGAGAGGAGAAGCCCCATGGACAGAATGGAGCCAGGCCCCAGGAGGCAGCAATTCAAGTGAGTAAAGATCTGGTAAATGGGAGTCTTTCTGTCCAAGAGCAGAGTTTCACTCTGAAACTTCCGACACAGGTCAGATTTCTTCTCTGCCATTTGAGAAACTTTTTCTTCTCTTTTCCATTGATCTCTTCCTTGCTAACCTGGAGTTTGAGGAGGGGGACCAAATGTCACCTTGTGCATAGGTAGTAATCCCTTGGCTGTGGGAGTGATGCAAACCATGCATACTGAATGCAAGTGACTGTAAAATTCCCCATTCTCCTTACTAATGGGAATTGATATCCTAAATCCTTGTCCTTCACATTGTTTATAGATAATTATAACCCATGTGATAGCCCACATTCAGTCTTTGACCTTTACCAGTCCAAAGCCTTCTAAATCAGAGGTATCCTCAGACACTCTGCCTGTGGACTGTGAACTGCAGCCCACAGCACTCCCCAACGGGGTCCGAACCAGATTGCAATGCAATTAGGAACTGTTTAGCAAAATAAATAAAGATACAATAAAAACATAGATAATACTACCTTTTAAAACTGAGTCACTGTGTGGCCTGTAGGGATTTTTATGTACAGGTGAATGCCCTCCATTTCTGTTTGAGTTTGACACCATTGGTCTAAATCACCTTTACAGTTCCTTTGATTTCTTTGAGTTCTATGCCAAATAATGGGATTGAAGGATATAAAGAATTTACTAATGTTATTTACATAATTAAAAAAAATTAACAGAACAATTAGACCAGTTCATAGCAAAGCTATATTGCGAGCTTTGCAAGTTAATGGGACTATATTATAACACTTCAGGCTTGCTTTTGTTGGCAATTTCTTTTATTTTTTAGTGATATGGAACATTTATTTTCATTGACGGTTTGGAAAATTTCACATCTTTTTTTTCACTTTGGGAAGAGTTTTTTCTTTGTCTCAAATTCTATCAATTCTCCATATATACTATGTTATTTTAAATGTCATACTTTTATCAAAGGTTCTTGATGATGAAATTTCCCCCAAGTTGCTAACTTCTTTTACTTTATCAGTAGGGATTTTGGTCACATAAAAGCTATTTAATTATATGTAACATAATTTACCTATTTTGCTCTGTCTCTACTTTGGTTAATAATTCTCTGCTAGCCTTAGTTTTAAAAGATGTCACTCTTTAATCTCCTTTGCTTGATCTTCATCCACGTCACAACCATAATAATGATGATGATAATAATGATAATAATAATGACAATAGCCACATTTATCTAGCACTTACTGTGTACTATGCTAACGGCTTACAAGTATTATCTCAATTGATCCTCACCTAGGAGGTAGGTATCATCCTCATTTTTAGATTAGAAAACTGAGGCAAGCTGAAACTAAGGCAAAGATCCTGAATTGCACAGATCACACTAGTGTCTGAGGCTGATTTGAACTCAAATCTTCCTGGCACTTTATCCGTTGTGAGGATACACTGAGTGCCACCAGGCACTCCCTCCCACTTCTGTTCTTGGCTCTCTTCTGTACTGTCTCACTTGGTGATTTCATCAGCTTCTACAGGTTCAGTTATCATCTCTATGCAGATGATTCCCAGATTTTTGTATCCAGCCCTAGACTATTTACTGAACTACAGTCACACATCACCACATGACTTTTGGACATCTTGAAATGTCTGTCCTCTAGGCATCTTGAACTCGACATCTCCAAAAGAGAACTCCCTATATTTTCCCCCAAACCCTCCCCAGTTCTGAACTTTACAATTACTGCTGAGGGCACCACCATCCTCCCCATCACCCAGACTTACAACTTGGATATCAACCTCAACTCCTCATTCTTACATACTCCATGTAACCAATTTGTTACCAAATAGTATTGTTTCTGTCTTCATAGCATCTCTTTTATACCTTCTGTTGCTTCATTTACAAAGCCACAAGCCTAGTGCAGGCCCTCATCACTTCTCCTCTAGGCTATTACGATAGCCTTCTTGCTTGGTCTACCTGCCTCAAATCTCTCCCCCACTTCAATTCATCCTCCACCTGACTGCCCAGGTGATTTTTCTGAAGAATACGCCTGACCAAGTCATTCCACCTTGTTCAGTGAGCTCCACTGACTTCTCATTACCTCCAGGATAAAATATACAATGTTATTTGGGGCATTTAAAGCTCGTTGTAAACTAGTCCGTTTCTGCCTTCCAGTCTTCATTGCTATGCATCCATTCGGTGATTCATCAGATATGTCCTACCTGTCTCCCTCTAGAATGTGTAGCTTTTGAATACAAGCATTGTTTTTACCTTTCTTTGTTGTTGTTGTTTTTAGGCAATTGGGGTTAAGTGACTTGCCCAGGGTCACACAGCTAGTAAGTGTCAAGTGTTTGGTCTGAGGCCGGATTTGAACTCAGGTCCTCCTGACTTCAGTGCCAGTGCTTTATCCACTGCACCACCTAGCTGCCCCATGAGAACTTTTTTTTTTTTGGTGAGACAATTGAGGTTAAGTGACTTGCCCAGGGTCACACAGCTAGTAAGTGTTATGTGTCTGAGGCCAGATTTGAACTCAGGTCCTTCTGACTCCAAGGCCAGAGTTCTATCCACTGTGCTACTAGCTGCCCCCTTTACCTTTCTTTGTAATCGTGGCCCTCAGCACAGTGCTTGTCACGTAGTAAGGGCTTAATAAATGATTGTTGACTTGCTGACAAAATTTTTTTTAAACCTTTTATTGATGTACTTTGATTTTTAAACAATTCCTAACCGACCCCAACCCCTTAATATTCTTCTTTTACAAAAAGAAATACTGACAGATTATGTAATATTACACATCTATGAGCCACTCCTTCCAATAGAGAAGAAGGAAATATGTTCCAATGTTAGACATCGGTAATCACTGTTGTCCATTGCAATAATCTGAGTATTTCAGTATTTTCTTCATTTTTGACATCTTCGTTGTGTATGATTTTTGCCTGGTTTTTCTTTCTTTGCATCAATTCACACAGGTTTTTCTCCTTCTGTTCAAATCTTTTACCTTCCCTTCAAATCCTTCTCCAGATGTATTCATGCTATATCTCTGTGATAAATATGTTATCTGTGTATCTAATGCCTTTATTAATTTATAGATGCTGGAATTTTGATAGACATTACCACCAGGCTTGCCCATCTATAATTTCCAGAAATGTCATCTTCCAGAAAATATAAATACTTTGTTAAAGATGATTAAAAATGGTTCTCTTTTCACATCTATTTTGATTTTATCTGAATAGCCTGAATGTAATTAATTTGGTTTTGTATACTTGACCTTATTAAAAGCAGCTCTATTCTTTCCCCTTACGTATCTTGGGTGTTAATACGTTGTTAATGATTGTCCTGCTTTTTTTAAAATATTTTATCATTCTCTTTGATAGAGAGACAATCTAAAACTTAGTCAAACATTTATTAAGTATCTACTGTATGCCAGGCATGTACTGACTGCTAAGTGCTGAGGATATAAAGAAAGACAAAAGATAATTGCTGCCCTCAAGGAGCTAACATTCTGATGGGAGAAGGCCACATAAAAAGAAGCTGAAAGAGTAGGGGTGGAAGGGCCAGAAGCAGGGGAGGAGAGTACTTGGGTGGCAGGTATATTGAAATCCTGCAGCCAGGTGGGAAATGATGAGGTGTCTGCCTGGACCTCCTCCTTAAACAGAGAATTTAGGAGAAGTTTGACACTGTCTACCAAGAGGCAAGGAATACTGAAGAGGTGTATGAAGTATAAAGCAATTTACTTTTTCCCAACATAGACAGTATGTTGACTTTTTTTTTTCCAGACAGCCTTATTCTGGAGAGTAAGTGTGAAACAACCAAGGAAATACAAATATGGGGCATTTCTGTGGAAGAGTCATCCAAGGAAAGGCTCAAGGAGGATGGTCCCTGGGATTTCAAATTGAGGAAAACCTGGGAATCTGATATTAGTTTAGAGCAACAGAAGGGCAACCACAAAAGCTTCTCAAAGGAGATTATAGTCACAGACAGAAAAACTACATTGAATACAAACGAATGTGGTTTATTTAGAAAAGGCTTCAATGAAGAGTCACTTGCAATTAAAAAAATGAGAGATCGTGCAGAAAAAAGTCCAAGTAAATGTGATACACACAAAAAAACCTTCAAACAGTGGTCAAATGAAAGGAAATTTAATGGAATCTTTTCTAAGATGAGGCTTTGTAGAGATAACTACGGGAAGACATTCAGTTACCATCCAGAATGTGTTGAACTTCACAGGGAATGTACTGAAGGAAAAACTTATGAATGTGGGAGAGTCGTCAGTTACAGCTCATCCTTTACAAATCATCACGTACGTCCTACTGCAGAGAAGACATTTGAGTGTAATGAATGTGGGAAATTGTTTAGCTGGAGTAGACAGCTTATTAAACATAAGAGAATTCATACAGGAGAAAAACCCTTTAAATGTAACGAATGTGGGAAATCCTTTAATCAGCATGGACACCTTACCACACATAAGAGAATTCATACTGGAGAGAAACCTTTTGAATGTAGGGAATGTGGAAAATCTTTCAACCGACATGGACATCTTACTCAACACAAGAGAGTTCATACTGGAGAGAAACCTTTTAAATGTAGTGAATGTGGGAAATCCTTTAGCCAAAGTGGACAGCTTTCTACACATAAGATGGTTCATACTGGGGCGAAACCCTTTGAATGTAAAGAATGTGGGAAATCCTTCAGGTGGCAGCCAGATCTTTCTAAACATAAGATAATTCATACTGGAGAGAAGCCCTTTAAATGTAGTGAATGTGGAAAATCCTTTAGCTGGCATCAAGACCTTACTAAACATAAGAGGATTCATACCGGAGAGAAGCCTTTTGAATGTAATGAATGTGGGAAGTCTTTTACTTGGAGTGGGCAGCTTACTACACATAAGAGAATTCATACTGGAGAGAAGCCCTTTAAGTGTACTGAATGTGGTAAATCTTTTATGCGGAGTGGGCAGCTTACTGCTCATAAGAGAATTCATACTGGAGAGAGGCCCTTTAAGTGTGGTGAATGCGGGAAATCCTTTAACAGGAGTGGTTACCTTACTGCACATAAACGAATTCATACAGGGGAGAAACTCTTTGAATGCGGGAAAACCTTTAGTTCTAGTGGTCATCTCACTGAGCATAAGAGAATCCACGCTGCGGAGGAACCACCTTAAATTCAGTGAAGGTGGGAAAGTATTTGACATAAAGGTTCTACTGCGCATAAAAGAATTCCTATCAGAGGGAAATCTTTGAATGTGTCCAGTATAGGAAATCATTTAGCTGCAGTGGACAGCCTGCGTAACTGATGGGAAATCTTTTTAGCCAGACAGGAGAGAAAATCCTTTCAGTGTTGTGAATTTAGGCAGTCTTTTAGTCGAACGTAAGTGAATTCATATGAGGGCCAAAGCTTTTTGTAGAAGTCAGCAGTTTTATTGACTTGTGACTTGCCTTGAAATAACAATATCCTGTGTTGTTTGTGTGGTAACAGTTATTTTATAGTAGTTTCACAAGTCCTGCAATTTTCATTTGTATAGGAAGCCCCTCTACCGATGCAACGCAGTACAGACTCTTCAACTTGGAGGCAAAGAAGTTGCCCCAGGAGTGATACGAGGCTCTGACGTGCCCTGGGTCACACAGCCAGGGTGTCAGGGCTGTTTCTTGCACATGGATTTCCTTAACTCTATAGCCAGCTCTCTAGTCACTAAGCAATGCTGCCACTCAGAATGTCAGTGTTTTAGTGAGATGGCGTGATACATCTATAACAATGCAAAATAATGTCCCTACACCCTCATCTCCACCTCCTCACTACAAATGTTTTAAAGCTATGAGCTCAAGTACTCTGGTTCACTAAGCAGTTCAGAATTGCTGTATCCAGGTGTGTTTGCTCTTTACATCAAAGCTAATAAGTTAGAGGAGGAATAAATGTGAAGGGTTCTGATGTTTGGAGAGGAATGAATCATGCTCTATTTCAGGAAATGAAAAGCAGTCAGGTTTCACATATGTTCTCTTCCAAAATGATCAGTTTTATTTGGTCTCAAATAATAGCGTGGATAGTAAGAGACGAAATCCAAGATTGCCCTTTTTGCATCTCTTTTTTTTTTAAATAATTTTATGACATTTTGTTTTTACATTGCCTTTATTTCTTACTTTTAACTCTCCCCAACTTTCTTTCAGAGAACTATTCCTTAAAATAAAAATAAAAGTTCAGCAAACCCAACTAGCATGTTGAAAAAGTCTGACATTATATGTGACTTTCCAAATTTAACCTCCACAAAAAATTCACAATGATCCAGTTGAATCTGTAATGGGAACCTAGGGGTTGTTAACATCAGGAAAACATTTTATAACCAGTAGTTACATGATTATCTCAATAGAGGCAGAAAATAACTTTTTATGAGGAACAGTACTAATTTATACTTTAAAATGCTACAAAGTTTTATAAAATGCAAAGAAGGATCTTTTCTTTAAAAATATGATCCAAAGTGTCTTAAGCCAAGTTAACGTTATATGCAGTGGAGAAACACGAAGTTTTCCCAGCAAAATGTAAGTAAAGCAGACTTTCCTCACTGTTTAACAGTTCTAGAAATTCCAGAAGTAGCTATAAAATAAACTAATTAAAAACATTAAGGTAGACAAAAGACAAAACTATCCCTATTTGCTGATAACATTATGACTTACTTAGAAGATCCTAAGCAGTCAGCAAAGAAACTGAGACCACAGCTTCAGTAAAGATGCAGGCCGCAAAATAAGCCCACAGAAACCAACAGCAGTTTTGTATGGCAGCCTTAAAATCCAAGAAGAAATAGCGAGGTCCTAATCACAATAAAGGGCAGCTAAGTGGCACAGTAGATAGAGTGCCAGGGCCAGGAGTCTACTTCATCATCCTGGGTTAAAATCTGGCCTCGGGAACTTACTAGCTGTGTGACCCAGAGCAAGTCACTTAACCCTGCTTTCCTTAGTTTTCTCATCTGTAAAATGAGCTGGAGAAGGAAATTACAAACCACTCCAGTAACTTTGCCAAGAAAACCCCAAATGGGGTCACAAAGAGTTGGATGCAACTGAAATGACTGAACGGCATTTACAACTAAAAGTACATGAAATTTCTGGAACTCAGTCCCCCAAACACACTCAGTGTTTATATAGACATAATTACAAAATAAAACAACAAACTGGTAGAATTTTCAGTGCTTATGGCTTGATCTTGTCAATGTAATAAAAAATGACAATACTGTGAAAGTTAACTTAATGATTTAGGCTATAGCAGTAAATCTACCGAAAGGATTATTTCTGAAGTTGGAATGATTAAATTCATTTGAAGGAGCAAAACGAATGGATGAGCATTTAACAAGATCTTACTATGTGCAAAACACTGTGCTAAGATATAAATGTGTATGTACATGGATTCTTTCTATCACGTGATCTCAAGATGCTCATGTTCAAGTAGAGGAAAACACCACGTGGGAGGTTTCACCTGCAAGTCAGACGGAAAGGGCCTGTGGTCCCTATTATGCAGCATATGACAATGCATTTCTTTAATCTTATTTCCATTAATAAAGCCGTGTCTTGTTTTGATGTTGAACCATTTAACAGCACCAAGGACCTTGATGGTGAGAGCTTCATTTTCTGGGTCATTATTAGCTGTGGCTGCTAAGGAAGCAGGGATTGCAAAACCTGCAGAGGTAGTTGCCAGGTTGCAATTCCACCAGTTACTCCCCTGAATGATTTATTAGGGGAAATAATGAAGAAAGAAAAGAATGAGGAGGGGAGAGCACCTTCAGTCCTCAAAATACAAAGGGATAGTTATCAAAAAACTATTTGGCACTGGTTTAAAAAAATAGAAAATATTGGTGGATCAGATTAGACAAGAAATAAACAATTGAACTCAATAACTAGCATTTGAGAAACTCAAAAACATAAAATTACTCAGGAAGGAACTTATGTGAGAAGTGCTGGGCAAACCAGAAAGCAGTCTGGCAGAAATTAGATTTAGACCAGCAGCGTAGACCATATTCCACAATAAATTCATTATAGATAGGTGTCCTCAAAATTAAAATACTATAAAAAATTCTGAGGTGCCCTCTTGATCTTCAAAACCTATGGGATATGTTGTCCAGAGAAAGTTTGAGCTTAAACTCTACTGATATTCTTGATCTGTCAGGAGGAAACATTAGGGAAAAAAACATCTGGAGCTTTAATTTCAAGTGAATTCTTAGTCATTTTGGAGTAACATCCTCCTTAATAGAGCTTTCTTTAGCCACCTCCTTAGCCTTTCACTTTTTTGGAGAGCCCTTCAGTAATAGTAATACTAGCACGGCACTGTTGTATAGTTCTTTTAAGTTTGTAAAGTCGTCTACATAGGATTTTCTTTTGATCTTTGTAACAGCCATATGAAGTAGAAGGTGCTATTGTCTCCATTTTACAGAGGAGGAAGAGGTACTACACATCTTCTGTTTTGCTTTTCTGCTTAAATATAATAATGAACGTTTCTCATTTCTTGGCTTTCCCTCTAGCAATGGAGTAGGAATGTACTTGTCCCTGAACTTCTGAATTCCCCTTAATTGTACTTTTGTGAGGCCAGTTAAGGAAGATTTCCTCTTGGAACAAAAATAAAGGCCCAAGCTTCAGGTCACTCACTCAGCAGGATTCCTCCATCCTGTGTTCCCTGGGAAGATATCGTGGTATGCCACTTCTTTTCCACTGACCCCTTGGGGTGCATGAAAGCCTCTTTCCCTGATGGAGTATTTAGAATGGTATGGCCATCTCGGGCACATTACTGGCCAATTCTATCAGTCGAACCTGCTTTTTCCTAAGTAACGTGGAGCGTCGAGTGACACGTGGCTGTTTGTGCTATGAGACTGGGATTTGCGGTGAGCTGTACTCAATGCCTTTTGTGCCGCTGATTAACAGCTATTCCTGTGTGTACCTGTAATAAATCTCCATACACTCCATGACTGTCCTGTCTGTTCACTGCACCATTTAATTACAACCTGCGATTTGTTTGGCTTGTCAGCACAGTAGAACTGACTCTTTTTTGTCCCTAGGATTCTTTAAGTGCACCAAAGGATAGTATTTGTTTTTTTTAAGGCTGCTGTGTAATGGTTTGCTCATTGAACTAGCAGTTTACTAAAATTCCCAGATCTTTTTCACATAAGCTGTTGACTGCTTGATTTTTTTAAATCCAAGTATAGGATTTCAAATGTTTCTCTCAAGTATCTTATCATTTCAGTCCAGACTCTTGTTCTAGACAATCAAGACTTTTCTGGATCTTGACTCTGCCGCTTCCCAGGGTTAGCTGTTTCCTCCCAGTTTCATGTCATTTATGAGTTTGTCAAGGATATTCTATTCCTTCATGCAAGTCCCTGATAGACTTTTTGAATAGCACTTGGACAAGGACAAATCCCTGGACCATCCTACTAGAGGCTTCCTTTCAATGGATGTTAAAATATCGGTTCTTTTTTATTCTAGTCATTTTACCATTTCTGAATCTGCTGAGCTCTACTATCATTTCACCAACAAATTGCCATCATATCTACAAGAATAGCATGAAATTATTCAGTGCTTTGCTGAAACTGAAATATTCTGTGCCTGCTTACCAAATTGTAGGCTTTTATTCTTAAATAAGCTTTTAGTTTTTAGTTTGTTTTTGGAGGTTAGGCACTCAGCTTCACTGGGTTGCTATGATGACGTAGCTAAACCACCTCCACATATTTTGTTGGGGTATTCTCAGCTGAAACACTGTAAATACACTGACTCTTCAGTCTCCCTGGCCCCAGGCTCTTAGAAACTTTCTACTTCTGAAATACAGTAGTAAAGGCCTGAGTTGATCTCACTGAAGCTGCAACTTTTACTTCCCTCATCAACTGTTTTTGGCTCATTACCTCTTTTACTAAAAAAGGGAGGAAGGTATCTGGGGAGTTTTTAGGCTTGTGTATTTTTATAGGTGTGTAAAAGTCTAAAACTAGTCCCTCTACTTTGAAATCCCTTTTGGTTCCCAGGTCTCACAATCAATTCCAAAATTCTTCAGAGACCTTGCGAGTGTTCTTGTATCACTCCTGACATTGCCTTTTGTTAGTTCTCAATAAAATAGTCTTTTAGGCAAGCATACATATGGCATTTGAACAACATGGCCAGCCCATCAGAGTTTTGCTGTCTGCAGTAGAATTTGAATGCTTGGCAGTTCCGCTTAAGAAAGGACCTTGGTGTCCAGTGCCTTATCTTGCCAGGTGATCAGAATCTTCCTAAGACAATTCAAGTGGAAGCCATTTAGTTTTCTGGCATGGCACTGGTATATTGTCCAGGTTTCACAGTCATACAATGAAGTCAGCACAATGGCTCTGTGGACTTTCAAGTTGGTAAGCAGCTTACTACCTCTTCTCACCCACTTTCCTTTGGAGGCTCACAAATACTGCACTAGCTCTGGCAATGTATTTGTCAACCTTATCTATGCGTACATCCCTGGAAAGTCTGCTGCTAAGGTAAGTGAACTTATCTACGGCATTCAGAATTTCCCCATTTACTGTAACCAATGGTTCTGTGTATGAATGGTGGAGAACCTGTTCTCTTGGTGTTAATTGTGAGGCCAAAATGAGCACAAGTGACAGAGAATCGACCTATACTCTGTTGCATCCCAGCCTCAGAGGCTGCATTGAATGCATTGACTGAAAGTCAAAGGAAGTGAGCCTATACCATAGTACATCTTCTGCCTAAGTGAACATAGTCCGTTATGGGAAAAGAAAAGTTAAGTCATAAACATTAATTCTTTCTTGATGAAAGATCTAATAATGGGCAGGGACTTTGATAACACATATTGACCAAATAGATGAAACAGGGTAATACAAAATTAAATGCAAATAAGGAATGAAGAATGATACTGTTGCATTCAATGCATTTCCCCATAAATATTCCAAAAGACATCTACTTCTCCCTCTGCATTGCAATTGCAACTGTTAATTCAAAGACATTGAGGTGATTCTGCTTAGAATGGGATTTTTCTGGCAAAGAAAACTACATATGTAGAAACTGAAGGAAAGAGATTAAAGGAAAAGCCTTTTCCAAGTTCTAGGAGGCTATTCAGTGTGTAATCTCAGTATTAGACACCAGGTGGCACTCCACACTTGAGCAGTTCCAACTTCAGCTTTCTTTCAGTCCCTCTGCTCATGCAGGATCGACTTTCCCAGATCTCTGGCTTCCTGTCTCCTTTTATTACCTATAGTCAGCCAGAGCTCCCATTCTCACCAGAGTATTTTCTTCTCCCCAATTTTTGACCCAGAAAGACTACACACTCGCCTTATACAGAAAAGTAAGTTTAGTGAGTGTAATTAAAAGAAATTAACACTTAAGCCACTGCTAGAAAAAAGTCTGAAATCTCAACTTCTAACCCATGTTTTCTCCTCCCCACACCACATCTTTGATGCATGTGGGCATGACCAAATGCTTTTGCTAGGGGAGTTTTCCTTTTCCCTTCACAAGGCCCAGAATCTCAAGGGGAAAGGGGAAGAATACTCTTACCAACACCCAGTCTTGGCAGACTGTCTAGGCAAAAGCTTTCTGTTCCTGGCTGTTGAGTACACAGATCACTGGAAGTTCCAAGATCAAGTGCCATCTTGGTCTGCTATAAGGTGTGGTTACTGTTCGCTGTTTCCCTTAGATTCACTGCCATACTGTCTCTAGCTGGTCTCCAACATGTCTCTCTGCTGTTTGTAACATAACCTGGTTTTGCCGCCAGTCTGGGAGAGGGGAGGAAGAAGGTTTGTGAGGGGAGGGAGAAGGTCATCTGTTTGACCAGTGTACAGGTTCTAGGATCACTCTCCCAATCCCTAGTATCATTTCATCAATTAATATAAATTATTGTGTTCTCCAGCTTCAATTCACCAATTAACATCAATTAGCTTTTACTAAGGGATATTTTCTGGAAATATTTAGCAAGGACCTAAGTACAACATCTCCCAAACTGGAAGATGCACTCCCTCCTCTACATGCCCATGCATCCTCTGGGCATAGTGGACTCAAAGTGGTTGCTGCAAAGCCTCCCCTTCCCAGCTGGCCCTGGGAATCCTTTTCTCCCTTAACATAGTCCTCACCAAATTCCCTTGCAGATGTGTATAACTGGTAGATGAATCATTCCCATGCTCAGCTGGGCTGGATCAAGCAGGTTACTCACATCCTTCGTGGTCTCTTCTCTGGACTTGGGTGTTGACTTGCCTGGCAGACTCTGTTACTGACACTGGTTGGTGGATTCTGATGACTCAGTGTTTCAAAGCTCATACAAACAACCTGTTCAGTTCTGTCTCTGAATATCTGTCATGTGCGATCAGGAAAGAATAAGCACAAGAGATAATAGAAACAGATGGCATGTGTTCATGGCCACAAGGCAACCTGGTGGAAGGTAGGGCCTGATGCCTGTTTCCTCACCCAGGGAGCCACAGCATTTCTGCCCTCTAGAAAACTGAAAGCTGTTCATTTGCAGGCAGTAAAAGCCTCTTTGTCATCGCTGTGTGGTAAACCTGCAGGAAACAGAATATGTTCATGTGCTGTGAAGTTTGGGGAAGTGCCGGCACCCATTAACATATGTCCAGAACAGGCTTAGCAAGCCGCCATTGGGTTGATACCGGGCAGGGCACGTTATCCATGATCTAAGGACTGGGCTGTCGTTGGTTAATTTCTCCATTACACAGGCAGAATGATTACCACCCTATACCACACTGCAAGTTCATGTTTCCCGTAAAATATGGAAGCTCTCTTTTCTTTCTGAAACATCTCACCATAGCACATTAAACAATACTAATGAACTTTCCTCATGTTAAAAGTCCCTAGTAATTCATTCCCAGGGCCCTGGACTTCCTATCCTTGTCAGACACCTAAAATATCCAGGGAATTATAGGAGAGAAACCTCAGACTTCTTATGTATTTGTTTCTTTGTTTGGCTATATATGTATATATGTATTTTGGAGGCTGGATCTCAATACTGATCAGCCCTGAATAAGATGAAAAGGGAATAAGCATTTATATAGCTCCTACTATGTGCCAGGCACTGTGCCAATCCTCACAACAGCCCTGTGAAGTAGGTGTCTAAGTCTGGAATTTGAACTCCGGCCTCCCTGACTCCAGGCTCAGTGCATAAATCTATCTACCGTGCCACCAGCTCCCCTGAATCTTTTTTTGTTTTTTTGTTTTTTTCTTTTGGTTTGGTTTTGGTAAGGCAATCAGGGTTAAGTGACTTGCCCAGGGTGACACTCAGCTAGTAAGTGTTATGTGTCTGAGGCTGGATTTGAACTCTGACTCCAAGGCCAGAGCTTTTAGCCACTGTGCCATCTAGCTGCCCCTCCCCTAAATCTTTAGCCTATTTTTTTGACCTGGGTTGTTTCACCCCTCCTTAGGTAGCTTATTGGCCCTACCTGCTGGAGGCTCATACTGATGCCAGACTTAGTGTGGATGTTTAACTGACTTCAGTCCCATGCTAGCTCAGAACTCCGCAAGTCAAGCAATCCACCAAGCTCAGTGCCCCCCACCCCCGCTCCACTAACAGGATTCTATGCCTGGGCCACAGCAGCTGGTCCCAGGCTCTTTTAAACATTAGCTACATTATTGTATTATAAATATACATGTAGACATATATGGTATTGTAAAGAGACCACAAATTTATGGTAGCTTTTAAGTCAGAAAAGCGAATAAAAATTGTAATGAGTACTTGACTGCATGTGCAGCAGCCTGACAGTTGACTTGAAGTCAGGAAGACGAGTTCAGATCCTACATAAGATGCTTACTAGCTGTGGTTGAATTTTTGCAGTGGCTTCCTAATCGGTCTTGAAATGATCAGATTGATTCCATGTCTTTTTAACTGATCCTGTTTACAGTTAATTGATTTTGTCCTGTAACTACTTAAGTCATAGTTCTTCGCTTCTGAACTTCACTCAGAAATTCAGCTGTAATGAGCTAAGCTTAGAAATCCAGTTCTCCTGCCAATCAGCATTCTATTCTTGCCAGAGGGAAGTCTGTTATCTTTGGGGGATGTAGGTGGACACCAGGGAGTCTGGTCTGGTATCTTTACAACGCCAAGCTATCCTTCAAGGACGTCTGGCTTGCTGTCCAAAGAAGTCTGGTCCGCTACCTCTGACTTTGCAGGTGGACTCAAGCAGTGAACATTTCTTTGTCACAGGAGGGAAGGAGGGAGTCGTTGCTAGCCCTTTATTCCCAGTTTCCCTCCAATCATATTGTCCTTCGTGCCTCAGCTCTGAAATCAGTCATATCGATCGTGCCATTCGTGATGTTGAGCTCTTGTAACCAGTCACAACTTGTCACCTGCCTGCAAAGTCACGTTCTTTGTTCTGTACTCCCCAAAATCTATAAAAGCGAGCTGGCCCCCTCATTAGGGGTCTTCACTTCGTTGAGGAAGCTGACACACTATTTATTGGTAAGTTCATGCTTTACTAATATATGGATCATGCTCAGGACTTTGTGCTTCGGTTTACATTATTTTGACTGTAACAGTCTTCTAGCCACAAATCTCTCCCCCTCCAATCTGTCTTCCACCTAGCTCCCAAAGCAATTTTCCTGAAGCGCAGACCCATTCATGCCACTCCCCTACTTGCCAAGTTCCAGTGGGACCCCGTTGCCTTTATGATAAAATATAAATTCTTCTGTTTAGCTCTTCAAGTTCTTTATAACCTAATCTCAATATCCTCCCAGCCTCATAACACATTACTTCTCCTCCCACACTGCCATCCAACGTAATTGGCCTTCTGTCTGTTCTCCTGCCTCGCACTCCGTCTCACATCTTTGTGTCCACGCTGGCTCTCCTCTCTGCCTCGAAGGTCCTACATCCTCACTTTTGCCTCTTTTCCTTTTAGATGCAGCATAAACACCACTTTCTCCTTGGAATCTTTCCTGATCCTCCCAATCACTACTGCCCTCACTAACTACCTTGTATTTATTTGTATTGATTATGTATATACTTACATATGTGCTTGATGCCTTCCCAGATATAATAGAAGCTCCTTGGGAGTAAAGATTGTTTAATTATCAATGGTTGTATCACCAAAACCTGGGACAGTACTGACATATAGCAATGACTCAATAAATGTTGATTGATGGGTTGATTAATCCTAGGCAAGTCACTTAACCTCTCTGAACCTGTTCTTTTTCTGTAAAAAAGAGAAGATAACGTCTATCTCATAGGGTCATTGTATCAGATGAGATGTTATATGTAAAGTGCTTCATGAAACTTAAAACATTGTATAAATGTTAGCTATTGTTATTATGATTATTAATGGAAACAAAAAAAAATCCTCCTAAATAATCAATGATCCAAGACTACACCTTAGAAATAATAAAAGTTATATTAAGGAGAAATATAATGAGACTACATGACTATGGGATCCTTAGAGGAAAACTTATAACTGAACATTTATGCAACCCCAGCGTCAAAGTGCATTGGTATGGAACTCTCCTCATTAGAAATAATGGCCTTTGTGTGCCTGAGGGATCTTGTGGAGTTGGTGAGAGCAGGAGAGAGTTCTTGAATCCCTTAAGACTCTTTGGATATTGCCATTGCTTCTGGCTTCCGTCTTCCAGAGAGATGATGGAAAATGTCATCCCTTTTTCAGGTTGCTGAAGGGAAAAGGCTCTGGTAAGAAACCAATGGGAGAGGAACCGTGTCCTATGGACATGACTTGAAAGTTAAGTAAATGTGGGAATAAGAGAGGGAAATTAATGATGACTTTGGAGTTTTTAGTAAAAGTAAAGGGTAAATTGGTGGTTTCATCAGCAGATAGAATGAAGTTAGAAACAGGAGTAAAGGAAAAAAGATGGGGTGAAGCCAAGATGGCAGAGTAGACCAGCAACCCAGCTGAGCTAAACAACTACCAAATAAAGTGAGCAGTTCTACGTACAGAGAACAGAAAGAGGCTCATAACATGAAGCAGAATTTCTGGCATGTAAAAGTTAGCTTTTCTTTTTAAGTATGCAGTAATATTGAACATGTAACGTTCAGCCAATCACACAAGCATTTAAATGTTCCTGGTTTGCAAGTACAGAGAATCAAACAATCTCTACCCCAGAATTTTCATGGGGGAGATAACAAGTACATATAAAATATATCTAGCATAAAATAAATAAATACACATATGTACCGGTAGTTAGGTACTTGGTTTGGGAGGAAGGGCAGAAGTAGCTGGGGCCAAGAGGAAAGTCTTCATGCGGAAGTGGGTGCCTGATATAACACAGTTGGTATTGATAGGACTCTCTGAGAGCCAGGCCTGTTACATTTACACTACCAGAGGGGCCTGGGAACATCTGTTTGCTTCGTTTTCCTCATTTGTAAAGTGAGGATAATAATAGCACCTACCTCCTGGGGTTGTTAGGATCAAGTGAGATGATAATTGTAGAGCACTTAGCACAGTGCCTGGCATACAGTAAGTGCTGTATAAATGTTAGTCATTATTATTTCAAAGCTGTCCTACTTGCCAGCATTTCTGGCCTTCTTTCTGTTCTCTTCTGGGCATTAAAAAAACTGCTTCAGTGACCAGATAGATGGTATAAAACGGGTAGAGTACTGGACTTGAAATCAGGAAGACTTGAGTTCAGTTCTAGCCCCAGACATTTACTAGTGGTGTGACTCTGGACGTGTCAGTTTTTTTCTCCCTCTGTTTCTTCCTCTGTATAATATGAATAATAATAGCAACCATGGGGTTGTTGTGAAGATATGACGACATAACACACTTTGCAAACCTTTAAGCACTATATAAATGCTATTAATATTTTTCTTTGGGAGGAAGGGGCACAATCCTATCCCCATTCTATTTTTTAAAAGCAAAACGAAGCCCTCCTAACAAGTATCCACGGTCCCACAGAACAGATTCCCATATGGGCTGTGCCATCTGTACCCTGAGCCCAGCTCCTCTGCCAGGACGTGGGCAGCATGCCCCACCAGGGGTCCTCTGGGATCCTGGCTGGTCACTGCCTTGATCCCTTAGTATCCTTTTAAAGTTTCTTGACCTGCGATGTCACACCCCCCCATTGTACAGATAGGGAAACTGAGGCCTAGAGAGGTTCAGTGACCAGACCAAGGTAATACAGCACGTCAGTTTGAGGCAGGGCCTGAAGCCCGATCCAGGGGCTCCCCGCCCCACCCCATAGCCTCCCCGAGGTCAAGGCCCCAGGCCTCGGTTTCCCCCTCTGTAAATGGAAGAGGGTGGCCTTGATTTTGAAGGGTAAGGCCCGCCCCCCACCTCCCGTCAGTTTCCCCGCCCCAGCCCCGCCTCTTCCCTCCCCATCCCCCACCGCTCTCTTCAGGCCCCTCCCCTTTCCTCTGGCATTCTGGTACTTGTAGTCTCGAAGTTGTATCTGCGCAGGCGCAGTCCGCGCGCAGGCAGGCCTTCCGGGGTTTTGTCGTGGGGCGGCTCCGAGGGGACGGTGAATGTGACCACAGCTCCCCTCCCCAGTGAGACGTGTGAGTGTGTGTAAGGGGCGTGGGGGAGGGGCTCCGCGGGACCTCAGAGGGGGAAGGAGCAGAGGGAGGGGCTCTGCTAGGCTGGAGGTGGGGGAAGGGAATTGGGGGAGGGGCTCCGCAGGACCGAGGATGAGGGAGAGAGTGGGGGGAGGGCCTCTGCTGAACCAGAAATGGGGGTGGGTGGAACCATCATCGGTGGGGGAGGGGCCTCTGGCCAGGCGATGGAAACTGAGGCTGAACCGGGGGTCCTGTAAAAGTAGCATGGAGAGTGGAGGGTGGGGAAGGAGCCGGGAGACCCGAAAGGGTTAACGTTGGGGGGGAGGAGGATCGGAGCAGGCGCCGCTGAGAGCGGAGGCCCCGCTCTGTTTGTGCGGGGCTGGGGCGAGGACGGCGTGGAGCTGGGCCCGCAGGCGGGGAGGCCGGACCTTTACGAGCCACCTGATCTCACTGCATCTCTGCCGGCCTCGGTTTCCTAAGCTGTAAACGGGATGCTGAGGCGCCTGCTTCGCAGAACTGACTGCGGATTAATTAAAATAGCGTCTGTAAAGTGCTTTGCAAACCTTAAAGCAGTATGTGAATGCTAGCTATCATTATCACAAAATTTGTTCTGGTTCTCCCCTCTCCCCCGTGGAATGTGAGCTCACTGAGGGCAGGGGCCCGTGCTTTTACCTTTCTTTGTGTCACCAGCACTCAGCACAGTGCCTGGCAATGTAGTAAGTGTTTAATAAATGTTTGTTGATTAAGACCTAGCACAATCCATAAAAAAGTTCAAATCATCAGCCCTACATACTGAAAGAACTGGCAAACATTGTAAAGTCGCTGTCACAAATCTTTGGACGTTTGCAAAGAACAAAGAATGATATGGGTGTTTTTCACCTAGATTTTTTTTGGGGGAGGGGCTAGGCAACGGGATTAAGTGACTTTCCCAGGGCCACACAGTTAGTGAGTGTCAGGTGTCTGAGGCCGGGTTCCCCTGACTCCAGGGCAGGTGCTGTATCCACCGAACCACCTAGCTGCCCCCTTAACCTAGAGTTTTGCAAAGCATTTGGCATATTTCCACCTTATTCTTGCAGGACA